ATTACTTGCTTAAAGAAATCTCCTTGATAGTTTTTCTTACTTTAAAGTGTCCTAAAGATATTTGAACAAGAAACTAGACAAAATACTTGGTCAGATTTAGTTTTTTGCAGTGTACTACTGAAGCTCTGTATACAGACTCCATGTCTTGTCCATCAAAGTATCCCAGCCTTGTTCTCTCTGTGGGCGTCTTGAGCTGAGAGTTTTCACCTCCTCATTGACCTCGGAGGACCGATGGAGGCTCTGACCTGGAGCCCTGACATGCTCAGCTGCATTGAAATAAAAAGAGGACTAAGATACATAAAGAGGTGTCTTTCAGGAGATTTGCAGCACTTCCTTATCTCTCTCTCTGTGTGAAAGAAAATAGTTCCAGCCCCCTCACTGTCACTCACGTCAGGAACAGGCTGCAGAGAGATTTGTGCCAGATGCTGCTTCTGAAAGCACATCAGGTGGACAAGGAGCTCTCATCCCCACAGTGCGTTTTCTCTGTGTGGCGGTGTGTATGTGTGGCCTTTGATGTCAGCCAGTAGTGGGAGTCCCCCAGGTGTTCGGCAGCACATCAGGGCTGCATATTGAGAAACACTCCTGCATGTTATCCACTCTTACATGCCGGCTTTTTACACCCTCCTCTCTCTGAGGGACTCCTAGTGTTGGTGTAAAACTTTCAGATTGGGTCTGCAGGAGCTGGAAGTTCTTAAAATGCTGATCTGTTCACACATTTTCTCTTGAAGGCCTTAAAATGCTGATTTTCTCTCAAAATGGCAGCAAAAAAAAAGCTAACTTTAAAGCAACTTGCAAAAGTATTCATAGTTCTTAAAACTTTTGTCATTTTTTGCACCGATTGCAGTTTTATGGCTACTCACCGATCTTTGAAAAGCCTGACCTTCCAATTTCGATTTTTAGCGGGATTATTATTATTATTATTATTTTATTTTTTTTTGATGAGGTGACTATTATTCATCACATTCGCCTTTTAGGTGGATGTGTCAGTCAGCTCTCTCTCATGGCAGAGAAAAAAAAGCGACAACGGCTGATTTTTAGACCTTTCCAGAGGAACACAAAATCGGCTTCACACTTGTTTCCTAGACTCAAATATTAAAAACTTTTTTGAGGTTCTTATTGATGTAAAATGTATAAAATTCATATTCTACATACATGAAATAAAATTAAAATACATAAAAGTTTTAACATGACAAAATGTAAAAAGGTTAAAAGGCAATGAATAAATGAAAGGCATTTTACAAAATCATGTTTTTCCTTTATTTAAAACCCTTTGTTCTGTCACTTTGTAACACAGTCCACGCCTTTTTAATTTCTTCTCAAATCTTCAACAATTACCTTGATCCGAACAGTGAAAATGAGGGATTAAACAGCATTTCCAAGATGACATTTTTATGTTCTAAGAAGCATCCAGTCTAATTTCATGCCTCATGGAGCTTGTGAAAGATTAAGTGTGAGTAAATGAGGCCGGTTTGTTGTGTCAGAGGTGATTTGGACTCTTATCAGAGGCTGAGCTGCAGATCTACTGGAGACCTAAGCTGACAGCCTTAATGGAATGGGAAAATCCAGTAATAGTGACCACTTTAGTTAGCATCTGAGGGTATTGTCTGCGTGTTTGGTGCATAATGAGTAACTGTATGCAAAGGCTGTCCTGGAAGTGCCCCCCTCATTTGGTTCTTTATTGTCAGCTTAGCGGTGTGAGGCCATTGTGTGAGTCTGTCTCTTAAATGGAACAACTGAAAGGTTATTATCTGCCTTTATTCTGCTTTCTTTGTGAAGACCTTGAAGTGTCAGACTTGATTGTAGAGATGAAAATTGTCCCAATGTTTGTCTGGGTCAAGATGCAAAAGGTTTCTTTCGCTCCAGAAAGTTAGGTGTTGTAAATAAGGAGCTGAAGTGCTGTGAAGTTCATCAATAGAAATGTTAAAGATTCTCTATTGAAGAACAAATTTACAACACAGTTACCCTCGATTTTTCTGTGTAACGTGACTTCAAATTATTTTCTAAAAATGTGCCTTTTCACAGATTTTTCAAGCACTTATCCAGTTTATTTATATTGAAAAAGTTAGCTACAGAACTAAATAAAAGTTAGCTGCACTGTTAGCGAATTAGCAGTTGTGTGCTCACCACTGTCTGACATATTTTATACAAAAACAGTTTGGGAAGCTGAAATACTTAGCAGCAGTGCTACTTGACACACTGTTGGCTGGCATTTGCAAAGCATGAGGGTATTTAATTTCAGTGGTGCCAGCGTAAGCACCACCAGGAGGGGTATGGAGCATAAATCTCTTGTGTGGGGGGAAAAAAAATCAATTTCACATCAGTTTGATCATCTAATAAATAGATTTATAAACAGAAAAACTAAGTGTCAGTTCAATATGTTTTAGTTTTATAAACCCACAATTTAGTTCTAGTTAGTTCTAGTCCCCCATTATTTCATTATTTACTGTTTTAATGTATTTTATCTTAATTTCAGTCTTTGCTATTTTATTAGTTTTAGTTAGCTATAATGGTTGGCGGTTCTGTCAACAAATACAGAAAATAAAATGGATTCCTGTTCTTTATCCCTGAATGAATTATCTCTGTATAGCGCAGACACAGACAGCAGACAGACACAAATGTATTCACCAGCACCCCGACAGGCAGCAGTTTTGGTTGTCAGGGTCTACAGATCATGGGTCATGTGTGTTGGTGCTGCATTAAGTCACAACAGGAACAGATAAGAGCGGCCCCAGGTTGGCTTTGGAAGCCAAATCCGCAGCAGCCCCCCAGTGCTAATCGGATTAGCTGAAAAGTTAGCAGTATGGCCCCAAGGAGACACAACGTTTTTTACACTGACTTCTGCGACATCGTTTCTTCCTCAGCCTCCATAATCTCCTTCTTGTCTCAAAGCCCTTTCAGATCATCTGTATCGCAGTCGACAACAACAAACTGGAGGCGAGGTGAACTGGTTTTAACCTCTGCTGGGTGGGGGTGGAGGTCTTTTCCACCCAGGTGGGGGAACAATGGGGCGCTCGTTTCTTAAAGAAATGGTTGGGTGAGCACCGCCAGAGGCAGGCGGGACAGGAATGAAAAAAAATGAGTTGAGAAATTATTGGTGGTGACGAAAATGGGAAGGAGGAGGAGAGCGAGGAGGAGGAGGGCTGTGGGTGGTGGAGGCTGAATGGAGGCAGCAGGATGGCAACTGAACTCCTAAAGCGCCTTCATGCATGGTCTGCTTCAGCCAACCCTGGAAACATGGAGGAGCACCGTGAACTTTAGCTCCTCCTAACTGATCCTTCTTTATCATTTAAAGCCGTTTGTTAAAAACAAAACGTTACAGTTCCTGCTCCTGGGTGAAAATACTTTGGACCATAATAACTGGAACTTTGACAAAATGTGTATTGATGATTTTAATGATGACACTTGACAAAATGAAATGCCTGCTTCTGGTTTTCACAATTGTTGTCTGTATGGTGTGTTTATAATGTTTTTATATTTTCACATTGTAACACGCTTTGAACTGCGCAAATAAATTTGATTGATTGATTGATCTGCATTCATATCTGGAAACTGACATCTTATGAGGGTCATTGGAGATACGGAAGAAAAAAGAAGGAAAAGCTTTGGATATTTTTAAAATTAATTTCCAAGAAAGAACTTGGAGTTTGAGAAGTTGAAAATGTGCTAGAAAAACATCACATTTTGAGATTAATTTCAGAAATTTTCTACCAAAAACTTGGACATTTTTGAATTTCAAATATTTCAAATCTTCAACTTTTCAAACTCAGACAATTTCCAAGTTTTTTTTTTTTTTAAAGAAAACTCCTAATATTTTTTGCTGGCAAATGTTCAGCTCAAAAAAAGAATAAAGAGCCCACATTATGATGCGACCACCTCCATGCTTGGCAGCTAGTTTTACATTTTTAAACTTCAAACTTATAAACAGTCAACTTTTGCCTCCTTGGTTGTTGAACTATGCATCTTTTGTCTCTTCCACTAAACTTTCCATTACTCTGCTTGGATGTAGCACTGAACTGCCAACTTCTTTATCAAGGTGTCAGTGTCTAATGTTGGTATAATGGATTATTAAATATTCTTATGTATAGTTCTTTTTTGTGATGAAGTGAATTTTGGGTTTTTATTTAAGCCATAATCTTCAAAACTGAGAGGTGAATCTATAAGGAATATAAAAATATATGAGTTTTACTTTAATTGAATCATAGAATCTAACTTTCTGTGACATTTTAACTTATTGAGATGCACTCCCATATATTTAGGCCTATTTTTATAATTAATCCACAGGAAGGTCAAACATCAGCATTTAATTCCTATGTTTTTAAACAGCCTATGCAGTTCAAATAATAAATAAATCCCCCAAATTAATAATAGTAATGTCTATGAGGACTGAACGTGAGAACAAAAGTCCCACTTGCTAATGAGTTGAGGAAATGAAGTTACACTACACTGAGCATAACAAAGCAACTAGCAGCAGTGTGAGAACGTGGGAGGAAAAGCTAGGTTTTCTTTTAAGATCCCCCAAAAACAAATTAAAGAAAAAAATGACTTTCTTTTGGTGTCATCCTTTTTTTATTATTATTTGTCACTGCATGAATGGACCAATAGAACAGCTGCCAAGTTCAACATGGCTGAAAAAGCTCTTGGCACGCTGAATCAACAGCCCAGCGTCGAACTGGCCAGCCTTCCTTCGACTGCATTCCCAAAATGATGCCAAGGGAACCGATTTTTCTGGCCAAGTTGTGGTTTTGTGGCTGCAGTCAGTCAGACAGAAGGAAGATGAAAATGATGCCATGTGGACAAGAAGCCTTTTTTCTTCTTTCTTTGTGCCAACGTGTCTCCAGATCAACTTTGGAGGACATTGATCTGCCAAGCCCACTGCACTGAGAATAAAGCTAAAGGTCAAAATTAGTTAGAAAGAACACAGTCGCTATGAAATGGATGTTTGATTTATTGTAATTGTGGGTTTTCCAGTTGATTTATGTGCATTTAAATGTGTGTTTCAGTGTGGGGCAAAGTGGAACTGACTATGAATGATAACCTGGAGGCGTACCTCGGTGACCCGGCTGAGATCCCCTGCCATTACAGCTTCACTGGTGTGAACGAAGAGCCCAGCTTTGTCATAATCCAGTGGTTTGTGGTAAGTAAACTGACAGTGTCCGTCTGGAACTAGCTGTTCCAGAAACAGTCATGGTTTCTGCTTCACTTGTAGCATAAAGCTTTAGTTTGCTGCAGTATTCCCTGGAGAATTGCAGGTTGATGCCTACAACCTGCTATCTGATTAAACAGCAGCAGTGTTGGGCAACGATAATTAAACAGTTTGGTGCTCTAACAGTAAAATACTAATGTGAACATTAGTTCCACTTTTTCTAAAGGGCATCACCAACACAATATTTAGTGGGAGGTAATACTAAAGCGTTAGCTTCAATTCAAACTATATTTGCCCTTAAAATCCTTGACCTCCTGTTAAAATCTTGATGTTATGAACATGTTTTATAATTCCCATAGGTATTAATTTTGTGTATATCTCTGGTAAACTGTCTGTTTGTCCCCCTGTTTTGCTTGAAACAAAGATATTAGGGAAACAAAAGAGACAACTTAAGGAGAGGAAATGCTGTGTGATCAGTCTTCACCCTCTTTAAAATAAGAGCATGGATATAAGCTTCTAACTGCTTTAAGAGTGCTTACCAGTCGATAGCAAAAGCTTTAGCACAGTTGTTAAACTTAATTCAACTGAAAGTTTGCAGAACAGCTAAATAATCTTTAAGTTCACAAAGAAGTCTTGAGTTTTAAGTTTACAAATAAACACTTTCAAATTTATCCAGGAAAAGCAATTCAGAGGAACCTAGCTATGCTAATGTTAACAAAGTTAAAGTTAGCAAAAATGCTAAACATAAAGTTGGCTGTGCTATTAGTGCATTAACAACATTCTTATCGGTGTAGATCGTGACTAGTTTTGATAACCTTGATTGATTGCTATGTTTGTTGACAATGACAACTTGTAGCTCTAGTCCCTTTTAGAAAACAATTCAAGATGAGTTTAAAACTTCTTTCTGCCGTCTCTTTGTTTTGTGAATGGAACGCCTCTGGAAGGCCCTTGACTCGCCTAACCTATGATGTTTTCATTCACCTGGATTCTCTTCAGAGATCTGCAGGAAACGGCTCACGGATGCGGATCTTCTACAGTGACGTCAACCAGCAGATAGTTGACAACAACACAGACTACACCGGCCGCATCGAGGTGACCTCAGACCAGAGAGGAAACACACTCCTGATCCAAAACGTGCAGCTCTCTGACGAGAAGGAGTTCTTCTGCCAGGTCAACGGGCAGGAGGCTGGCAATGCCGAACGCAAGACTCACCTCAGGGTTTTTGGTAAGACAGCGCACAAAATCACAAAGTATAGTCTAATAGAAGATTTAAACACCTTAAACATCTATCTGCAGTTGCAAATGTAGCTGTTATAATTGACCAAATATCTTGTTTTTCAGCTCCTCCAGAGGCTCCAGAAATTGAAGGCGTCACTAATGGGATTTCTGTGAGCAACACGATGCCATCTAAGGTGGGTCAACTCAGCCTGAAGGTCAACAAAAACAATAAAATCTCAAAAAAATCTGGATAATTGAAACTGTATAAAATCCCCTCCAGGTGGCATCATGTGAGGTTCGAAATGGATTTCCTAAACCCAACATCACCTGGTACAAGGATAGCGAGCCACTGGTACCTAAAGTAGGACGTAAGTTTTGACCTCTCTGGCTTTTCCTCCTTATTTTAAAATATTTATATCAAATTGCATCTGATTGGTGTAAAGGTTTAACATTTGGCTTAGCAACAGGTTTGCTGAAAAATTTAAAATAAGAAACACCCATAAAATAATCCATGAATCAGAACTGCTAGCGCAATTATCCTGTTAAAAACAGCGCAGTCCTTAATGGGTAAGTATTGAAAAAGTACTTGCCTGGTAATTACTTACATATTTCTAAAGCTCGATTTCACTTTGCTTGCTAAAAGTTAGTACCTATAGAATCACAAAATCCTGTAAATAGAACCTGTCTGACAACATGAAGTAGGCTGAAAACATGTGACTTGCAAGATATGAAGCTATTGTAGCTTACAGTACCTTATTTTCATTGTCATAATCATTGTGAGAAAGATAAAGATAAAATAATACTGAAATGTTTGATAACCTTTACCGTGCCTATAAAGAGCATCCAACAATTCAGCCATTTTCTGGCAACAACTTAAAACCTTAAAAGTCACAATTAAAATGGGCCACTGCCTAGCAACCCCAACCAAACCCAGCACCGTTGCCTAGCAATCAAAGCCAAGTTCCAGCACATTTGGTCAGCTGGTTTCACTGCTCTATGTGCTGCACAATGGCTGCTGGACAAGACAAGTGCTCAGTTGTTGGTTGTGCTGGAAGCGCCACTTCTGCTTTTTTAAATATGTATTGCTGTCTACTTGTGTTTGCAGCTATTTTCACATGCGAGTTTAAATGTTGATTTGGGAGTTGTGGTCGGCAACAGCTTATTTGGATTTAAAGTGACAAGACGCCCTAAAACATCTCATTCTGAAAGGATCTCAAAATAAAGATAATGAGATGAGATCTCATTATCTCAAAATGATTTTGTGCAAATATGTAATAAACATGTTTTCTATAGTCCTAACCTGTTCAAGGAAGCATAATAGCATCTACACCCAGAGGATGCTGACTACTTGACTAATCAGGTTTCCTAACATTATCAGCCACAGAAGTTCACATGAGCTGATTCAAACGCTTCATTTTGACATTATTTCTTGCTGTGTTTTCACCGTTCTAGAGGTGAACGTGATCATCCTGGTGACCCGGGAGTTCAGAGGCTTCTACTCTGTGCAGAGCACCCTGGAATACAGGATACTGAAGGAGGACAAGAACTCCCGTTTCTCCTGTGAGGTCAGCTTCTCTGTCCCGGGGGCCATCAGGACGAGGATGTCCCAAAGCATCAACGTCACCGTTCACTGTGAGTTTCATACTGTTATACTGACCTGTAGTAGAGCAGTAAGTCACTAATTAAACTCTAATGCTGTCTGCCTCACCTCGATTCTTGACTGTAATTGTCTCCAAGTTTTGTCACCATAATTGCCTGACAACGCTTTAATTAGTTCGGCTCAATGCTTCCAGCTTTTGCAGTCAGATAAACAGTTTCCTTGCTGTTCTGTATTGTTTCCAGTTCTGTTGCTAATTTCAGTATTTTCACTTTAACCCATACTTTCTTTATTTGGCTTGCAGTTTGTTTGCTTCTCCTAGGCAGTTTATTGTTTTGCATTTGGCTGTAAAAGATGCTAATGTAATTGAACTTGCACTTTGTGAGTGGAATATTCATAAAAACACCCACGTCAGAAAAGCTAAAGCCAGTAAATCCACAGTGCTGGGGAAAACTCCTAGAAAATGGAGGAAAACTGGTGCTCAGAGGTTAAATGTTCAGATTTAAAATCTCTTCATCCCTTTCTGGTTTGTCTGTTTGCTCACAGTTTGTTAAAATCTGAATATTTAATAAAGGTTCTCCACCAATCTTAAAAATGAATCTTAGTTAAAATTCAAGGACAGAAAAAAACATCCAGATTAAAATAATTATGCCACTGGGTGTAAGACAAACAATCCTGGCAAACCAGCATCAATTATTTCATCACTTGGGTTATCTGTGAGAAAATGCATTGTATTCAGCATTGAATACAATGCTGGGCACAAATAATATGTATTTGTGCCTGAAATTATCTAATAACTAAGTGAAGAGAAATGTCCAAAAACATTCAAAGAGACTGCTATCTTGCACAAACAAGGCGCTGTTAGGACTAAAGACGCTTGATGAAGATGAAGGTTTAATCATTTTGAGACAGCAGCAGTCATTAAAGGGGACATTTTATGCAGAATTCACATTTTGCACATTTTTGTACTTTGATTTAAGTTTCTACTCATTCTAAAAGCAACCCTAGCACTCAAAAAGAAATCATTGCATCTATTTTTGTGCAATATGCTTATATTTTTTGGTGTCTGTAAAATAAGCCGTTTCAAACATCTCCATAATGTAATGTCAAATCAGCAGGTTCTCCTCGTTACATAGCAACGACCATTATCTAGCAGCACAAGAAGAGCTCCAGCATGTTAGCTGAGTTCCAGGACATTTGGTCAGCTGGTATGCTGGACAACGGCTCCTGCAGGATGAGTGTTTCGTTATTTCCTTACCATTCAGACACCACTTGTTGTCTTCTTGTTGGTTGTGCAGGTGTCTGCACTTCTGCTTTTCAAAGATGTTGTTGTTGTATAATTTGTAATCTGTTTGCAGCCATTCTGTAGTGCAAGTGTAAATGTTAAGTTGGCATTGCATGGCCAGCAGCAGCTTACTTGGATTTAAAGTGATGATACCCTTAAAATAGGCCTTTCATTCTGAAAGCTGGAAATAGGCAGAACTGAGCTGACTAAAATCTCATCATCTAAGAATGATTTTGTGCAAAAAATGTAATAAGATATTTTGTGTAGCCTCTATGTGTATGCTAATCTGCTTAGGGATGTATAATAGGTCACCCTTAAAGTGTTACTAACAGCTTAACCCCTTCCCCTGACAAATGTTGAACAATTCCACCCAAAAACACCAGAAGAGGGCAGAGAAAAGAGCTGCAGAGAGCAAGACAGTAGAAGAGGCTTAGGATAAAAAATGCACCAATAACTCTTTCCTCAGAGCTCTTTACATACACACAAAATAACAGTATATTTATACTGCATGCTGTGTCAAGCTGATCTACAATTCTGAAAACATAATAAACATATTTATATTTAACATAGAAGGAACACTCCACTTGACAGCAGAGTATCAAAAATTTATAATAAACTGTTGTTGTTCCTCTCCACGGAAATCTTTAGTAAAAGGCGAAAGATTTGTACGATCTGAAGAGAACAAAGAGTGGATGACCTCTTAAAGCTGTAGGTGCCCCATTTGTCCTGTCATCATACCCACTTCACTGACGGTCCTATTGACTGAACAATGCTTTGTGGGTTCTGACAAGCTGGCCACACCTCTATTTTTTTAACCTGTTTAAAGGCTTTTTTTTCCATTTCAAATCTTTTTTCCAAGGGTAATTTTTCCACTTTCAGTTTTAAAATACATTTTAAGTTTTAATTGATTTTTTTTGTTTCAAATGTTGTTCCTATGAACAAACTTTATGGCCCCAATTTAGGTCCATAGCACTTATTTGATCAGCACAAAGGTTTGGTCGTTCAGGATAGGTTTGTGTATAGTCACTGTTTTCTAAAAAAGTTGCCAGAGGAGTCTGAAAAATTGCTCAAAATAGTGACAAAGAGCATTGCTACATTATTGATTATAATATAGAGATATAGTAGAACTAGTAACGTTACAGAAAATGTCTTTCCACTTGTCTTCACACTTGGCCGTGTCCATTGGTGTCTTTTAGCTCCGCCCACTTTGGTAGAATTTAAAATTTACCTTAATAAGGGGTTTAGTTACACTTTGAAGATAATCTATGAAGATTCCTTGAATGTTGGAACAGGTCTATGGGCAATACAAAACATGTCACTTACATTTACTTTTGTTAAAGGTTTTGTTGGCTCTCGTGGCCTTTACTTTGCAGTTGTCAGGAAGAAAGGTAGGTTATGAGAGAGGGGGAAGATATGCAGCAAAGTTTGTCAGGCTCGGACTCGAACCCTTGACTAAGGCCTCAATATGTGGGTTGAACTTTACCCCTGCACACCTCTTGCTTAAAATTATTACTCAATAAAGATTACATTTTCATTGATTGTGCATAGTTCAAGCTTCTTTTAGAATGAGGTGTTATGGCTTTACACAGACAATGCACTGAAATAATAACAACACAATGTTCCAAGTCCCACTGAAGTGATGATGGCAATTACTCCTCATTGACAAGCAGCAGAGGGGACAGCGCCGTCAGTGAAGTGGGTATGATGTCAGGAGAAATGGGGAACCTACAGCGTTAACAGGTCATGCACTCTTGTTTCTCTTCAAACTGTACAAATCTTTCGCCTTTTACTAAAGATTTCCGTGGAGAGGAACAACAAGAGTTTATCCTAATTTTTTGATACCCTGCTGTTTGGTGGGGTTTTCTTTCTGTGTTAATGGAAACTTTAACAATAATTCTAACTATTAGAATATCTATATCTGTGCTATGATGAAGTTGCTTTAAAATAAATTAAGTCAACTCTGTTGGTATCAGACAATATTTTACATATATGTTTACATGTGCAATGATGTAATTTGTTTTTACTTGATTTTGTGAGTGTGAGAAATGTGAAACACAGACTGAAAATGTCAAAATTTATCAAATTTTTTTTCCCACGTCACATGCACATAGAGTATTGATGGTGTTTAAATAAAGCTAACAGTTTTCAGACTGAAAAAAACAGAATCATTAACTAGTTCTGAACATTTTTTTAACATTCTCAGAACTTTTTTTCAGTTAAATTTTTTTTTTTAACAAACTTTATTGCCCAAATTCAGCTTCATAGGACTCAGTTCTCCTTCATGTCAAAACAGATCACTGTCGACATAAAACAAAACAGGAAAAAAGTCACAAATCTAGTGTGACAGGTCACGAGTGACTGTAAAACAATTACAAGGACTGTGAGTTCCTAATAATAGTGGCAAAGTGCTTCGCTACATTACATAAAAGCCTACATAATTTTGAGATCTAGAATTCAATCAAATTCATAAATACTGTACTCATATTAAATACAAATCTTCAAATAAAGTGGTTAAAAACCATAGGTGCTGCCAGCTTTTTGGTTCCCACAATGCATTGCTATAGTCAAATAGCGCCGTCAGTGAAGTGGGTATGATGACAGGAGAAATGGGGAACCAACAGCAGTAAAAGGTCATGCACTCTTGTTTCTCTTCAAATTGTATAAATCTTTCGCCTTTTACTAAAGATTTCCATGGAGAGGAACAACAAGAGTTTATTCTAATTTTTGATACCCTGCTAAGAGGTGGGGTAAACTAAAGTTGTTATAAAGAAAACCACTGATAAACAAATTTGTGTAATACACTTGCTACATATTGCTGTTATGTAGAAACTGGCCTTTTAAGTTAACTGAGGCAACTCTATTTTCATAAACATGTTTATATATTTACTTAGATGTGTCGTGAAGAATATTTGTTTTTACTTAACTTTGAGAGCATGAGAAATGCCGAGCACGTGTAGAAACCATGAAAGATGAAGGAACGACCCCTTTCACCATGTAGTCCAGTCTCCATGCGTGGAGTCTATTGATTGTCTATTGGTTTTTTTTCTTTTCAATATTGTCAGAGGTGTGGCTATGGCTTAACATAAAGTGGTTGAAAAACATAGGCGTGGCTTTTTGAATCCCACAATGCATTGCTATAGTCAAATAGCGCCGTCAGTGAAGTGGGTATGATGTCAGGAGAAATGGGGAACCTACAGCGTTAACAGGTCATGCACTCTTGGTTCTCTTCAGATCGTACAAATCTTTCGCCTTTTACTAAAGATTTCCGTGGAGAGGAACAACAAGAGTTTATCCTAATTTTTTGATACCCTGCTGTTTGGTGGGGTTTTCTTTCTGTGTTAATGGAAACTTTAACAATAATTCTATTAGAATATCTATATCTGTGCTATGATGAAGTTGCTTTAAAATAAATTAATTCAACTATGTTGGTATCAGACAATATTTTACATATATGTTTACATGTGCAATGATGTAATTTGTTTTTACTTGATTTTGTGAGTGAGAAATGTGAAACACAGACTGAAAATGTCAAAATTTATCAAAATTTTTTCCCACGTCACATGCACATAGAGTATTGATGGTATTTAAATAAAGCTAACAGTTTTCAGACTGAAAAAAACAGAATCATTAACTAGTTCTGAACATTTTTTTAACATTCTCAGAACTTTTTTTCAGTTAAATTTTTTTTTTTAACAAACTTTATTGCCCAAATTCAGCTTCATAGGACTCAGTTCTCCTTCATGTCAAAACAGATCACTGTCGACATAAAACAAAACAGGAAAAAAGTCACAAATCTAGTGTGACAGGTCACGAGTGACTGTAAAACAATTACAAGGACTGTGAGTTCCTAATAATAGTGGCAAAGTGCTTCGCTACATTACATAAAAGCCTACATAATTTTGAGATCTAGAATTCAATCAAATTCATAAATACTGTACTCATACTCATATTAAATACAAATCTTCAAATAAAGTGGTTAAAAACCATAGGTGCTGCCAGCTTTTTGGTTCCCACAATGCATTGCTATCATCAAATAGCGCCGTCAGTGAAGTGGGTATGATGACAGGAGAAATGGGGAACCAACAGCAGTAAAAAGTCATGCACTCTTGTTTCTCTTCAAATTGCATAAATCTTTCGCCTTTTACTAAAGATTTCTGTGGAGAGGAACAACAAGAGTTTATTCTAATTTTTGATACCCTGATAAGAGGTGGGGTAAACTTAAGTTGTTATAAAGAAAACCACTGATAAACAAATTTGTGTAATACACTTGCTACATATAGCTGTTATGTAGAAAGTGGCCTTTTAAGTTAACTGAGGCAATTCTATTTTCATAAACATGTTTATGTATTTACTTAGATGTGTGGTGAAGAATATTTGTTTTTACTTAACTTTGAGAGCATGAGAAATGCCGAGCACGTGTAGAAACCATGAAAGATGAAGGAACGACCCCTTTCACCATGTAGTCCAGTCTCCATGCGTTGGAGTCTATTGATTGTCTATTGGTTTTTTTTCTTTTCAATATTGTCAGAGGTGTGGCTATGGCTTAACATAAAGTGGTTGAAAAACATAGGCGTGGCTTTTTGAATCCCACAATGCATTGCTATAGTCAAATAGCGCCGTCAGTGAAGTGGGTATGATGTCAGGAGAAATGGGGAACCTACAGCGTTAACAGGTCATGCACTCTTGGTTCTCTTCAGATCGTACAAATCTTTCGCCTTTTACTAAAGATTTCCGTGGAGAGGAACAACAAGAGTTTATTCTAATTTTTGATACCCTGCTAAGAGGTGGGGTAAACTTAAGTTGTTATAAAGAAAACCACTGATAAACAAATTTGTGTAATACACTTGCTACATATTGCTGTTATGTAGAAAGTGGCCTTTTAAGTTAAATGAGGCAACTCTATTTTCATAAACATGTTTACATATTTACTTAGATGTGTGGTGAAGAATATTTGTTTTTACTTAACTTTGAGAGCATGAGAAATGCCGAGCACGTGTAGAAACCATGAAAGATGAAGGAACGACCCCTTTCACCATGTAGTGGAGTCTCCATGCGTGGAGTCTATTGATTGTCTATTGGTTTTTTTTCTTTTCAATATTGTCAGAGGTGTGGCTATAGCTTAACATAAAGTGGTTGAAAAACATAGGCGTGGCTTTTTGGTTCCCACAATGCATTGCTATAGTCAAATAGCGCCGTCAGTGAAGTGGGTATGATGTCAGGAGAAATGGGGAACCAACAGCAGTAAAAGGTCATGCACTCTTGTTTCTCTTCAAACTGTATAAATTTTTTCCCTTTTACTAAAGATTTCCGTGGAGAGGAACAACAAGAGTTTATTCTAATTTTTTGATACCCTGCTAACTGGTGGGGTTTTCTTTCTGTATTAATAGAAACTTTAACAATAATTCTAACTATTAGAATATCTATATCTGTGCTATGATGAAGTTGCTTTAAAATAAATTAAGTCAACTATGTTGGTATCAGACAATATTTTACATATATGTTTACATGTGCAATGATGTAATTTGTTTTTACTTGATTTTGTGAGTGTGTGAAATGTGAAACACAGACTGAAAATGTCAAAATTTATCAAATTTTTTTCCCACGTCACATGCACATAGAGTATTGATGGTATTTAAATAAAGCTAACAGTTTTGAGACTGAAAAAAACAGAATCATTAACTAGTTCTGAACATTTTTTTAACATTCTCAGAACTTTTTTTCAATTAAATTTTTTTAACAAACTTTATTGCCCAAATTCAGCTTCATAGGACTCAGTTCTCCTTCATGTCAAAACAGATCACTGTCGACATAAAACAAAACAGGAAAAAAGTCACAAATCTAGTGTGACAGGTCACGAGTGACTGTAAAACAATTACAAGGACTGTGAGTTCCTAATAATAGTGGCAAAGTGCTTCGCTACATTACATAAAAGCCTACATAATTTTGAGATCTAGAATTCAATCAAATTCATAAATACTGTACTCATATTAAATACAAATCTTCAAATAAAGTGGTTAAAAACCATAGGTGCTGCCAGCTTTTTGGTTCCCACAATGCATTGCTATCATCAAATAGCGCCGTCAGTGAAGTGGGTATGATGTCAGGAGAAATGGGGAACCAACAGCAGTAAAAGGTCATGCACTCTTGTTTCTCTTCAAACTGTATAAATCTTTTGCCTTTTACTAAAGATTTCTGTGGAGAGAAACAACAAGATTTTATTCTAAATTTTTGAAACCTTGCTGTTTGGTGGGGTTTTATTTTTGTGTTATATAAAAATACATTTTTGTGAAAAGGACTCTGAATTACAGTGAAGTCTATTATATTAGTTTTTATTTGGTTTGTATAAAAACCATAAGAAATTAAGGAGCAGTAAAAATATATTCTTTATGACTATTGGCTATTGATTTCCAGCAACAAAAGCTGATTTGGGGATTCAGTTACTCTTGAAAAGTGGCTTTTTGAGTTTTCTTTTGGAGAAGTCATTTGTTATATTGATTGTGTTGGGTTTTCTTATGAACATCTGATCATTTACAAATTTTGCCAGTAAACCCAATTTGCAGGTTCAGCTGTATCAAACTAAACTTCTTCTGGTTATTGTTGGAACAGTTTTGTAAAAAGCCAGACTGGATCTGTCAGCATTATGGAAATGATCTTGTGAAGTGACTTTACCAGCATGCTGAATAAGCCTGTCTAATTTAGATTATTTCTTTGTGTGTGTGTGTGTGCATGTGCGTATGCAGACCCCACCACCATGATGGAGCTGTGGAAGGATTCGCCGCAGGGCTTGGTCAAAGAGGGGGATACCGTAGAGCTGCGTTGCCAGGGTGACGGCAACCCCCCGCCGATCTTCATTTTCAGCAAGGAACAAGTAAGAATGGAGCGTCTTTTCTCACCCTCCGTCCCCCGAGAGCGAGTGAGTGACACACAAGAGGCACGCAGTGAGTGTTTTTGAAATGCAGCGCTCTCAGTGCCCTGTGCAGACACAAGCGTGGAGGGTCTGTGATGACTCTGACCCGGATCAGACCGGAGGCCATGTTGGCGAGCAGGGCTCGTTCCCACGTCAGACGCACATCCATTGTGTATCTGCAGAACACAAAGGCTCAGCTGACTGCAGTCTGAGCATTTCCCAATCAGCCAAGTTGACAGACTTGGTCAGACAGAGTAATTTGAAGAAAGGGAACATTTTAGAAATACATTCAGTCTTAAGGATGCAGCATGTATCTTTTAGTAAAAATATTTTTTGACACATTTGTTAAAAACTGTCACCATGGTGTGGCGATGTGGTATCAGACAGATATTCTGTGAAAGAAATTGAGCTCCCAGTCCTCCCAGTTCTTATTTAGAAACAACCAGATATTTAGGTTTTTGAGTTTTTATGTTGCTTAGTCAAATAGCTCAGGCAGTGAAGTTGATATGCTGACAGGAGAAATGGGACACCACAGCATTAAATAAATATTTTGCCTTTTGCTGAAGATTTCTGTGGAGAATTAATTCAATAAATCGTCTCATTCCTTCGTTAAACTGTTGAACCACTTCATCATTTGCAGTCAAGAAGAAGAAATCTTAAAAATTACGTTTAAATGTTGCTGAACAAACTCAATGGAGTTTCCTTTTCAGGAGCCGGATGTGCCGTTGGAGAGCAGAGATGATGTCCTGATTCTGCCGTCGGTGTCCCGGAAAGACAGCGGCATCTACCAATGCCGGGTGCTGGACTCTGCTGGACAAGCAGAGGTCAAAGAAGAGATCACGCTCACGGTGCATTGTACGTAGGAAAACATGCGACACGCCGGGAACTGCAAGTCTGCAGAATTATTCTATACTTTAGTATTTAGAGACTTTGAAGTTGAAATTCTGACTCAGGGCTGATCATGGGATATTTTAGGTTTTGTTCTGGGAGCGTAAAACATCTTTGTGTAGAAATGTGATACTTAGTATTCTTCCAGATTGCGAAATCTGGAGAATTAGACATTTTCTAGAACAAATAAGGACATTTTCAAGTTTGAAAAGTCAAAAATTTTCTTGGAAATTGAGCTCAGATTTTTTTTTAGAAAAAAACATGGACATTTCTGAATGTGTGTGTGTGTGTGTGTCATGTTGTGCTTTCTCCCGTTTCAGATTTGGACCCTGCTGTTGTGGTTCCAAAAGATTTGGAGTATATGAACCAAGGTGAAAACCTGGTGGCATCGTGCAACGCCCTGTCCTCTCTGAAAACTGTAACCATCTGGTACAAGGTGAACAAAAACACTTCATTTCAATTTGAAGTTAGTCCCTGTTGCTTGTGCACTTTTTTCTTCAACTAAACTATCCGTCTATGTGCTAGGATACAGGGATTTCTGAGTGGCCAAGTAGTTTAGGTGGACTAAATTTTCCCTAAACTCTTGAATGGGCTTAATTTCATAAAACTCTCAAGACTGCAGTTATTCTCTGTTGTTTATTCATTTTTTCCTTCCACTAAACTTTCCATTAACATGTTTGGATATAAGGACATTTTTTAGCTACACTGGACAGCTGTCCAATCAGCAGTCTTCCCTCTGATTGTTGTGGCCATAAAGTTAGTGTTAGTGAATTGACCAGTGTCATAATGTTCTGACATTCCGGTGGCGTTGCTGACCTTGAGGTCTTGTTTGAATGTTTGCCTTGGGTTTGTTTAGGAAGGGAAGCAGGTGGGTCATGGCAACACGCTGCACCTGAATGATGCCACCTACGAGACGAGTGGACAGTACGTTTGCGAGGTGACCGTTCCCTCCCTGCCCTCCCTGCACACCAACGGCTCGGTTCACATCATCGTCCAAGGTCAGTGAGCTTTGAGTTCTGATAGTTTCGAAAGGAAGTTCTGTGTTATGAAGACGTAAATGAAACAGAATGAAGTGTTTTTATGAGTATCTTACAACATGTTGGTGAATGTTTACTAGAACAAGATCTAGTAAACATGCTGTTTACTAGATCCTGGTCAATGTTTGTGGTGGCTGTTCCTCCAGGAGGGCCTCAGCTGGCCGGCGTAGAGGACGAGATCCAGCTGGAGGAAGTGGCCGGCCGCATGCTGAACCTGAGCTGTGAGGCCCGCGGGCATCCACTGCCCAGCATCACCTGGAGCATCACAGGCAGCCAGGTAATCGTTCATCCAACTTTTGCAATGTATACAAACTCGACAATGAGTTTGTATACAAGTAATATAAGTAAAGACAAATACACAAACATTTGCTTTGGAAGTTTTAGAAAAGAGACATGCTGGATTTTATGAAACTTTTAGTTACACCTAAAGGAAATTCAGTTTGTCCCTTTTGGAAGAGAGATGTCAATAACTTTTGCATAAATAAAAATATCTCTTTCTCTGTAGAACTGGCAAGAAGTGATGAGCAAAGCTAACGACCACATGACTCACAGCATGGTGTCGATCAAGATCAACTCGGACGTTAGCGCCGTTTGTAACGCGTCCAACAACCAGGGCACTGAGGTCAAGGTCTTCAGCATCAAAGCCAGTAAGCGTCTCTTTCTTAGGTATATTGAACATGTGCATGTTAAATTTTCTGATTCAAAATTGAGAAATTGTTTGACAAGTCACAACTGTTCTTCTTCCTTGAAAATACTGGGATCTGTGTTTTTTTATTTGGCAAAGTTGAAAAAGTTTGAGCTGTCAAAACACAAGCATAGATCTACATTTAGATGATTTATCTGGCATCATTTAGATATGAATGGACAGAATACTAACACAGGCTAATCTTTAGCTGTTGTCAGTCCTGAAGTTAGCATCTGCTTTGTTCACTTTGCAGCGCTACACTAAAGTTATATTTCACAGTTTATGAGGAATCTGGACTACAGTTTAACACTAAAAGTATAAAAAGGATAAAAATGATCTTTGGCATTTTTGGATTACCATGACTGGCTAACTGTTGGCTGCTTCTAAAGCTAACATTAGCATTTGTATTGATTCTATGCTACAGATCTGCCTTAAAATCTAAAATAAAATGTTGAGCAAAGAACAAAATATTAATAATTTGCAAGGACTGTGACTTGCTAACTAGTTTATACTGCTAGATCCAGTTTTGCACCTCGAGGAACCTTTAAACATTTACAGTTTCTTTATAACAGTTTGAGATTCATGAAAAATGCATTTGCTAAATCACACAAAAATACTGTTTCAAAGTTTTTTAGCACTACAGGTTGGATTTTGAACAAACTTAGACTGAATTATTCTGCACTGTTTAGAGATTTTATTCTTGGTGAAAACACAAAAGTAACTGTTTCAATGTTATCATTACAATCATCTTAGAATAAAACAAAGAATAAGAAATTTAAAAATGGAGAAGTTGAACCTAGACTGAACTATTCTGCACTAATTACTGACTCTTTAAAGCAATCTATGCTTTATATATGAAAACAAATAAGTTGGATTCTTGCTTTTCTTTTTTCTTTTGTTTTAAATACAAATATTGTCCTATTCTCATGAACCAATTGTTGAGTAGTGTCTCATGACCTGCATAAATCGACATGCAATTCTTTCACCAACCCTTTTGGTAAAAAATGATGTCAAGTTTTCTTAATGCAGCATGATCCACATTAGATCTGAAGAATGAATCAGAGCTCTTTTGCTGCAGTTCATTCAACCTGACATGTATCTGCTGCAGTCGACTCTGAGCTCATTTTGCCCCTCCAGCAGTTTGAAGAAAAGATTCTCAAGACGAATACATATAAAAATTCAAATGACTGCATGTGGTCTTTGTGATTTTTATTACAGCCAGAAATTTGGGGCAAAATGGCTTACAAGTTTGTAGTATTTTTTCTGATTTTTTTGAATTTCTTTAGAATTGGAGAGTCTATCTGTGTCCAAAAGTTTTGATAATTAGATTGAAAAAAAACCCCAAAACACTGGGTTCTTTCAAATCCCTCTCACCTCGACTCAGTTCGTGAGAGATGGGCGTATCGAAGAAAGGGACTATGATTGTTTTCCCAAGTTGTATATGACAGCATTGTCAAGGTGTCTGCTTGTTGAAGTCAAGCTAATTTAGGCTGGTTAGGGCTCCTATCAATATATACAAATGTTGGAAATAGCTGAGAAAACACCCAGACCTTCTCTTTTCTAATGTGTTTGTCGATTTGATCAAATCTTTGACTTTGCCTGAATTCACGCCTCATGATTTATTCCATAGCTACATGTTAAGGTTGTCAAAGTCCAGCTAGCAAAGCTCTCCTACTTCCCTCTTCCTTGCTATTTTTTCTTTAATTTAAACTTTTTAGTAGCCTCTGAAATGTGATACCCTTGAACCTTGAAACCTAGTTGTACTAGTAGCAAATAACTGTGTCCATTTTAAATATGTATATGTCTTGTGCACATTTAGATTTATATTGACAACTTAACAGCTAAAAACAATGCTATCATCAGCGAGGAGTTTTTTTGCCCTGCAGCAGGGACCTTGAGCAGGTGACGTCACGCTGCAGTGTATCATGGGCATCACTGTCAAGTTGGATTTGGACATGCTTTGTTCATGCTTCTCTAACTTTAAAATAAAGCACAAACAATTCTTTTTACACTTGCTTATGGTGTGTTCACTGATCAGGGACTGATAGGATTTTTCAGTTTCCAAGACGAAAACCGACCAATTCTGGTCACCAGCCGAATTCTTGTCGCATCGTTAATAACAAGCAGCTGATAAATGACCACAGTTTGCTCTTTAACCAAATGTTTAACACAGTAAATGCAGGTTTGCACTAATCTTAAGGGATTTGTGTGTTTATGTGTTGGATTAATGTTGGTGGACGTGAACTTCTTCCCGCTCTGAGTGTTGTTTTACTCGTCCACAGTTCCCAGGGTCACCCGCACCGCCCCCTTCTCTCCCGGTAAGACGATTACCGTCCTGCAGTCTCTAATGTTGCAGCTTTCCAGCTCAAACACTTTCCTCCCAATGTTCATGCTTTTCACCAACATACGTGTGTGACAATGCAGGCCTGCAGTAGGCCATGCATTATTTACAGGCATTCCATCCTATGACTGTCTTTGGCTTGCTGGCAGATCTTTGGTTTAGCCTTTGGCTGTTATTACATATTCTGTTTGATTTTCAGCATTAAAAAAATCACAACGCCAGCAAATCCCAGATATTTGGATCAAACACTCTGCAGCTGTAAAATATTGTTTGTTTATCCCAGAATTTTTTAAGTAAACAAAAATCAGCAATGTAGAAAAAGGCAGCCAGACATTAATCCTGTTTTATAGCAGGTTTAACATACTGGGTTAATTTACACTTCACCTTTGAGGGGGTTGCAATTATCAGGCAGTTTTCTGACTTAATCTGGGCAGTTAGTTCGCATCGTTAAATCTTTGCTGGACGATGAGGGAAAACACGGCGTCTGAAATAAAAGCAACAGAGGGAAAAACTGGGAAATCTGGTCCAAAATGTTCCCAAACAACGTTTTACTGCTTTTCTTTTTGTTTATGGCCATTCTAAACTAATGCAGTCAGAATGAATAACATCATCAACACTTGGTGCAATAAAAAGGTTAAATGTTTTTCTCACTTTTTATTGAGTCAGTACATTTAAAGACCAATCCTATTTCATTGGACGGCGGCTGTTCAGTTAGTGAAAAACTGATGGAGTCCATTCATGATTGATGAGTGAAGTGTAGCACAGACTCTAGCAGAAATATATTTAGAGTTTTTTTTCTTGTTAGGTTTTACTAGAACAGTTTATTGAGTCTGCACAGAGACGATTCAAGTGGTGCTATTTGCTGCAATACTGATCTGTTTTTTTTTTCTTGTGTTGCTTTCAAAATAGTTTCTCTCAGCATAAAACTTCTTTGTAAAGTCTGGAGCAGTGCTGCTAAATTGCAGCTGCACCAATTGGTTTACATTTAACTTGCAGTTTCTTTTTGAGCAGGCGAATATGAAAAATAATTTTTATTAATTTATTTTTGAAACAAAATTCAGTGAGCGCTTTCAGTTTCACTGCTGTTCTTCTTCATCTGTTCGCTCCATGTTTGTCTGTTCGCTCTGTCTGCTTGGTCGACTCTGGTGATCCTCGCTCTGCTCTGAGGTGTTTCTGTGATCATCTGAGATGTTTTCCTGCATTAACTGCATGTTTTCTGCATTAACTGCATGTTTTCTGCATTAACTGCATGCTGAGACTCCTTACCTGATCTAAGAGTGGAAACTTTGTAGCAACATCCCTGCAGAACCGACTTACTTGTGGTTAATTGGTTAACAATGACCTTTTTCACATCACTTTTTTCATTCAAAATGTAAAATCATTTCAAACTGAAAGTTGAAACATTCAGTCTGTCAGAGAACATAACTTTTTTTTTTACAGCAATGTAGATCATGTCTAATGGTTGCTATGGAGATCTAAGGTACTGACTTTGGGCTCTTTGTTTTTTAACGTTGAGCTTTTGGGCTGCCAGCAACATGTGGGGGTGGCACTCTGAACTCCACACAGTCCTTCATGTACTGTCGTCTGTTGGACTTCTCGCTTTTTAAAACCTTGTGCACCAGTGTGAACCTTCACAAAAAGAAACCAAATGAACAAAAAACAAACCATCACGTAAAACGCATTAGATTTTTTTTTTTTCTGAAAGTTGGATTAGTAAAAATGCCCATTTGGACGATTTTTGTTGGATTAGTAAAAATGCCCATTTGGACGATTTTGGTTGTAAAATAAAAAAGGGCCCATTTGTGATTATTTAGGCAAATAAATCAAATCTGAACAGAAACCTTGACGGCGGATTTCTGCTTCTGTGTGCAGTTGAAGGCAGCGGGGTGATCATAGTGGTGATCATCCTGTGTTTGCTGCTTCTCGCCTTCCTGGGAAGCGTCGTCTACTTCCTGCATAAGAAGGGAAAGATCCCCTGTGGACGTTCAGGAAAGCAGGAGATGTGAGTACCGTCTCGTCCTCCACTCATTCTGCTGCACAAAATTTGAATTCACATCTTTATTTTTCTGCATAGAACCCTCAAAAGTTGCTTTTTTTTGGCAAAAGCAAGACATTTTTGTGTGTGAACTAAAGTTGAGTTGTTTTTACACATGTATTTGGTTCTTACCTTCACAAAAAGCTTTAAATCACCTGCTTTTAAAATTTTAACTCAGTTCAGCCTTTCAGATTTGGTGTTTTCCAACAGAAACACTCAAAAATTCCACAGCACATCTGGATGTAGCTTTTCATAGTCAAGCTAGCATAGCTGACTACTTCCCGCTCCTTTGCTTTTTTTCTGAAAAGTTTTTCCTGACATTGATTTTTAGTTGTTGCTTTGACAAATATTAGCAAAGCACTGTATCCCTTTTATATATTTCACGTACATTTAAGATTTAGCGCGTTATGTTAACAACTTGGCCACTAAGACCAATGCCAGTCGTTGTTGGTGAGCAGTTTTTTGGGATCTTGAGCGTGTGATGTCACGTTTCAACGCGTCTGTAGCACCAGCTCAACATGTCTGCGTTCATCCGGGCAGCACCAAAGAGAAGCCCACCAAAGACGACATCGTCGTGGAGATGAAGAACAACCCAAAGAACGAGGACGCTGTGCTGCTAAAAGCCGTGAACGGAGAGAAGAAAGCTCCCAATGACCAGGCAACTGTTGTGGTGAGTGAACACACCTGCAGACAGAGAGAAACAAAACCAAGAAACCACAGCAACAGTCAGCATCAAGTTACAAGTTAATACAAGAAAATAGAACTTTTATGCTTTTAAACATGAAAAACTCATTTTGTTCCTGCTTGTTTACCACTTTTCAACCTGCAAGAATGTTGGAAGTGTTTTATTATAAATAAATCACTTCCAACACTTCAAGAAAAAACTTTTTAGTTTGTTAATGGAAATCTACTCCACTGTTGCCTCTTTCTTTCTTTGATCAACAATTCGTCATGAAAATGTGCATCTGAGTGAAAATTGTTTGAAATGTTTGGGATCTCGTCTGAGTCTCGTGGAGTTGATCTCTCCTGAATGACTTGAGTAAATCTCGCCGCCTCGTCTGTCTGTGCAGTAAAATGCTGAAGGTCGCGCGGAGCCGCAGCGGGTCGCAGTATCCGGACGGAGGCTTTGGAGCGGAGGAGAACACTGAGCTCCTCTCTGTCTGGACGCTCTCTCCCTCTTCCTCCCTTCATTTTTTGTTCTCAGCAGTATTCAGCAGGTTTTCCCAGGAACACACACACACACACACACACACACACACACACACACACACACACACACACACACACACACACACACACACACACACCGCGCACACACACACACACACACACACACACACACAAACAGAACACACACTTCCCTGGTGTGTTTGTACAGATTTGTACCTTCTGAACGAGTCTTTGCTTTTGCATTCGGTTCTCATTAGTTTCCAGCTCTTTGCTGTTGTTTAGTGTTTGTACGATGGTGAATCATCCTTTGTTTTTCTTCTTCTTCTTTTTTATGAAAGTGTAAATATTATATATATTTTGTTATTTAAGATATTTTGACTCAGATTTCCATTTCACAGCAGCGTCTGGCTCGTGTGCATGTTTTCTATAGTTTTTATTTAGCGTCCAGTTGAGATTTGACGCAGGACTTGATGGAGACCAAACGTTGTAAAAACTCGTCCTACGTTCGACCAAAACAGCTGATTTTATTTTCTGCTCAATAGGACCGCCGGTGATTATTTTACTGGCGGCCATCTTTACCAAACTGCTGTCTCGTTCTTGTAATGTTTGTCAATGTGCTTAGGTTAGAGACCTGCTGGACCTCCTGAAGCTCACACAGGTCAAAGTTACACATCTGCTGTGCCTGTTTTTTCTTTTTTTTTACATCAAACACTGAATTTATTTTATTATTTTGAAACAGTTTTTCTTTGTGTTGCCACCCATTGGTCAGAGCCTGAACGTCCCGCGTCTTTTTGCATGTTTCATACCACAGCAGTTTGGATTGACGATGCTTTTACTCAGAGATCACTGTGATGGAACAAGAAGGTTCCTGGTTTTCTTTACCTGAAGTGTTTGGAAACAAAAGAACAAAAAATATTTATTATTTTAGAAAATTCCTCTTAAATGGTTATATTTTCCAGCTTAAATGTTTCTATCATAATTCACTGAATTAGTTTAATTTAAATTTAGAAAAATTCTTCTAATTTTGACGACTAAATGTCGTCCAAATTTATAACATTAATGTGAAAAATCTAACTCGGCCACAAAATGTTTTCTTTTTGTTTGTTTTATGTTACTTTATTTTTATTTACAGTTTGGATTCCTAGTTTTTTCCCCCAAACTTTTTTATTTGATATATTTCATAAAACAAGCAAAGATTTAAGATAAAACATGTAGAAAACCTCCTTGTGTTTGTTATTCAGTGACCATTTGGTTTATTTTATTTCTTAGCTCGCAGCTTCATGTTTCAGGAAAGCGGGTCGTTCTGCTCTGCCAGTCGGATGTAATTATAGTGGATGGAGCCACAAACTGCGGTTTAATCTAAAACAGGCAAAGAAAACATGCAAAAAATACTGCTAGGGTCCTTCTACAGGCAAAAGGCAGGCGTTGTGAATATTTCTCACTGTGTATTTTATTTTGAAAGAGTTCTTTTGTTACCAAGAGTGCTACAATGCCCTGATGACTCGCAACATTTCAATTCGTAGTGAAGTATTTTCAGTTTTGAATTTTTTCATGTCCCTCTGAATGACGAGAAGCGACGCTGTCGGTGTGGAACAGATTTCTGGTTGAATCTGTCAATCTTTATTTGTTCAGTGGTGAGAAAACAGAGTTTGAAACTGATGATCTTTTCTACATGTGTGTAAATTAAGTGCTCAACATGTGATTCTTTTGATGCTTGTTTTTTGTTTTTTTACAAGATGCCAAATAAAAGTTCCACCTAAAGAAAAGGCCTTGACTTGTTTCTGCAGAGGTTTCGAGTGTGTGTGTGTTGTGTGTGTTTTGTGCGTGCGTGTGTGTGTGTAGAAGTGAGCGCTTCCAAACCGCTGTCAGCGCAAACTGGGAAGCGCTCCGAACGGTAGCTCAGATTTCCTTCCTGGACAGAAAACACATCTGCAAAGAATTTCAAGCTGCAAAACAAACGTTGAGTTCAGGCGCAGAGCCTGCAGGCCTCCAGGTGACGACGGCTCAATAACGACCCAGATGAAGCAGCTCAGAGGGTTTAAAGGCACAAAACGGTCCAGATTGCGTTTTGGTTTACATTTTCTGCTCAGACACGTGACCGCCCGCCAGCTGATGGACTTATGAGGGGAAAGGAAAGGTTGAGTTTCTATTAAAGTGAATGTTGGTTCTCTATGTTTGGTTCTGATTCAGGTGACGGAAGGCCGACTTTGGAACCGTCTCTATAGGACTCTGAAGGTTCAGATCTGAATCAGTCACAGATTTCATTTTAGTTTGTAGCTGTAATAACTGAAGCTGCTGACTCTGGATCAGTCCAAAGACAATATCAGCAGGACAAATACTAGACCACAGCAGATGTTTTTAGATCAGTTTTGAACTGTGTACTACTATATGTTTTTTTTTTTTATGGAAGTATGAAGCAGGTTTCCTGCAGATTATACTCTTGTCGTGGAATAATGGCATTTCATTTATACAGGTGGTTTTTTTAGGTCTTGTTTTTGCCTTTTAAGTATGAAACAGCTTTTTTTTCCATTCATTTCAGTTTAACCACTGTTAGTTAAATAATGAATTTAAGAGCTAAACATGAACAAATAACCCATAGGGAAGATTGTTTTCACCATCGATTATGAAAAGCCTTTTGCATTAATATTTTTTCCATTAAAACTAAAAACAGAAATTTCTAGTTTCCTATTAGTCCCTGAACGCACCATATTCCACGTTCTCGATGAGGCAAAAAAGCGCATTAAACATCTGTTGAACAAACCACACGCAACAAAGATTAAAGAAAAATACAGTTTAATTAAAAATCTTAATGGCTTAGGCATGAAAACATGGCGGCACAATGAATGCAGAGGATATTAAAAAGACAATAAATAAAATCGTATCTATACAGGTAATAAAGCGACGAGTTTTTAGTAGGCAAGTTTCATTTGACGAAGGCCAGTTAACTGGGTAAACCAACACACACAGTCACAGAGAGAAGTCAGCAGACGGAACCGACACTAAGTCACTGATGGTTCTGCTCTCAGAGTTCAGATGAAGCAACAACATGAGGGGAGAGGAGAGTCCAGAGGGAAACGGAGCGATTCGCTCAGTTCTGCGACTCACAGGAGGCACAATAATTCACCTTCTCCCACTGAAACCAGTTTGGACCTCAGTGTAGAGAAAAGGACACTTGAGCCGCCTTCTGCTTACACAATTTTATATCATGAAGTATTTTTACCAAGGATTTCAGGACATTTAGCCCACAAATTTGATGTATTTATCCTGCAGAGTTCATAAAAAAATAAGCTTAATGACAAATAAATCAGCTTTTCTTTAATACATGAAAATTGAATTTTGCATTTTCTGGTTTTCTTTGTCTGACATCATGATTGATGAAGCTGAACAAAATCCATATGGATGTAAATACTTGTTCATAGCAGAGAAAAGAGGCTGATGACAGTAGCTGCGTTTCCATCACAAGTCCAGACAAAACACTGTTGATGTTCTGCTAATATAAAAAAAAAAACATTTCGCAGTGGCTGTGTTTTCATTAAAGAAACTATTAAAATCAAACGTGAATAAGCTTGTTCACATGATAAAAAGCCATCCATCATCCTCCAGCAGCTTCCTCTTGTCTTCTTCGCCTTTTCTGCCAGTAGTAACATCTGGTTGCTGAACTCGTGATGCGTAAAAAGTGTTTCCATTTCAAATTTGTGAAACACATTTTGATACGGTGAGCATCCATAAATTCTTGGCCGTAAAACTTTTTTTTTTTTAATTGCCATACTTCCATTTATCTAATGTATTTTTCATATCCCAATTAACTACATGGTCGATGGAAACGCAGCTACTGTGATGTAATTTTTCCCATTTAAATGCCTCCTTTGTATCAACATTCTCTTTTTACGCCTCTGTCCATTTATATTACTTTGTAGTGGGAAAAAGTATATTTTGACCTTTTTAAATTTGACCCACAGATTTGCTAAATTTAAACTTAAAGTCTGCATTCTTCCCAACCACCAGCAGGGGTCACAAGAAAACATCCTTAGTCAGTTTCTGGTTGGTATTAAATCTAATTTTACTAACCATGGCGTGAGTTCACTCAGACAGACTGGAACCCTGGACTTTTCATATTCACAAAAAATTAAAATGCGTGATGCTTGTGCTCTGGCGCCACCTAGAAATCCTCAGATCCCAGTGGCTCAATTCATACTAGAGGATTCACACACCTGAGAACAAGTTCAAAGCTTTTTAAGTCACTTTTTCTCCACCTTAATGCTTAATAAAGATGCTACTATGGCATTTAAAAAATAATATACAATAGAAGTAAATTTAAGTCTTTTTTCAAGTTATTTTTTCTAAAATTTTCAGTTGAACAATTTTGAAATTCACAAAAAAAAAGAATAAATAAACAATAAATTGTTGACCATCTGAGCCACTACCCATGAAGCCTTGCAGATGGCTGCTCCAAACAGAAGAAAGGATGAAGCCGCAACAAAATGTAAATATGACCTTAAATATGTCAAACTGGGGCTTTATGTTGGGCAGAAATGTCAATATTGCAGAAACATTTTGGAATGCTCCTCCCTACAATCTAATAAAAACAATAAAGCGTAATAAAACATTTGCACATTCATGTGGAATGACTTCGAGTCAGAGCGGATGGTGAGATCACATTAAAACCAGGGCTGCACAAAATGCTGCACATTTATTATTACTGCAGTGTCTGCAGAACTGCTACAGATGTTAGCAAACGATTTAAATAACCTGCATTCAGGCTTTCAATGCGACTTGGACGTCTGGTGGCTCTAGTCACTCGGTGCAGCATGAAAACGGTTCTTCAGGGATGTTTTGATGCTAAAACAGCAGCGGCTCCTTTAATAAAACCTTGTTCAGATAGAAATGCCATAACCTGTTCTATTTACCACAGATCATGTCATGAAGTTTGTTTCTAATATAAGCCGATGACACTGCAAAAACTAAATGTTACATACAAAGTATTTTTGCTCTAGTTTGTACTGCAAATATGTTATTTCAACCAGATATAAGAGATTGTTTTAAATAAATAATTGTTTAATTCCGCTTAAAAAATTTGCTTGTTCTACTGGCAGATTCTTTCATTTATAACGACATTTTCCAATGTTCCAAGTGAAAAAAAATCTGCCAGTGGAACTACTATTTTTAGAATGATTTACTTTCAATAAACTCCCACATCTTGCAGTAAAGTTTTAGTTTTGTCTTATTTCAAGTGCAGCAAGACATTTGCAGTGGAAACGAGACCAAAAATAGTTGGTGAGATTTTCTGCTTTTGCAGTAAAACTGAATTGAATTCAAAACTCTGAATCAACTGCAGCAGCTGAAAGGCCTGCGAAGCAAAGCACAGCTGCACTGTCCCCCTGGATCTGCCCCGGTCAGCCTTCTGCACGTCCAACTCCAAAGACTCTGGTCAAATGCTGGTTGCTAAAGTCTCTCAATGCAGAGCGCTGAAGTCATGAAGCTGAAAACATCCTTTTCCAAAGAGTTTCATTTGCACTCGATTAACTGGAGCCAAGTTGAAAGCCGGAATTTTCAAGGAATCGCATCAGAAGAGAGAACACATGCTAGCATTAGCCTAGCTTAGTGTTGTGCTGGATGCTGACTTGTAGGAAACACTATCATGATGCTGATTCTTTTTACACGACAAGCCTGAAGCGAACGTATCTGATGTCATTGAAAGGTACTCAGAGAAACTTTTAGGACAGAAAAGGATCATTTTCAAAGGTCAACGTTGGGTGAGTCGAGTCAGACACAAGCTTAGCAATAAATGATAAAGTTGTGGTGATTTAAGGGGAGATTATCTTCATTAATCCATGTTGGAGCTGTGGTGCATTATTTTACTAACCTTCAGTGTTAGTAAAATCCATAACACAAATTTAACTTTAATAGAGTATTGGACTAGATATGGGCCTGTCCTTCCTATCAGCTTTACTGTTCGCTTCGTCTCTCCATTTTCACTCTGCAGACAGAGTGGGAGCTTCTCTGTGGATATTTGTGGGTCATTGACATGTGGGACTCATCTGCTGCCTGTGAGTGGAAATGTATGAATGTTCGAGCGTCAGTCAGGAACGCATCCAGGTTTCTAATCAGTCCATAATCTGCTTGGGGATTCGGAGCCTGGTGAGGTAGATCAGTTGGGGACAGGGCGTTTATGTAGGACCGGACCCGTCCTATTATTCTAGGAAATGTTTGGACATAAAGCAGCTGAAACGGAAACCATTTGAAGCGGACCTGCAGGATGTAAAGGCCAGCTCTGCCTCTTTATTTACTGAAAAAAGACCTGCTGGCTGCTAATTAAACGCAATTGTGACGACCCGAAGTGACTTATCTAAATCTGCTGTTGCTTAATTTTGCTTTGTGTACTTATTCTGTTTATTGAAGCACTTTGTGATTTTTATCTTGGTTTTACTTGTGTCACACAGCAGCGCTCTGCTTACGGCAGTAAAAATGGCCGCCGTCTACCGATCAACTTTAAAGTTCTTCAGAGTGGACCGGGTCGTCATGAGAACGCAACAAGAGCTCAGCTCTGTGTGGATGTGAGGTCGGAACTAAAAGTGGCGGGTTGTGACGCGATGCGTTTCGCTGACACAGACGGCTTTCATAATTTCATCATTATAATTTTCAGCCATTGTTTACGTCCAGACTTACAGCATCTGACTTCATCTGGTTGAAAGTCGAATAAGATGACTGTTCCTACAGCTGACACGCTGAAAAATATCTGACTGTAGAGACACTGTTGCCCGATTTTCCACAAAATAAACTGGAAAATGTTAGACAAACAGAATTAAAATGGGATTAATTTCCACTATTGTTAGTTCTACACACAGTACAACATGTCAGGAGAGTACTTAAAGATTAAAGTACTTGTTGACCCAGAAGGTGATGGGAAACGGAGCCACAACCCTGCAGCACAAGCCACAGACTTCTACTCACTAATTTCTGATTAGTTACAGATTTGCACATCACAGTTTGCAGAGAAGCAGCGAACTAAACAGCGACATGATGAAAGTTTGGCTTCACGAAGCTCCAGATCATTTAAGCCGAAAGAGATGAACCAATCAGCTGATGGGAAATCCAGTTCCTTCCATTTCCAGCTGGGGGCGGCGTAGAGTAACTGTTGAGGCTTCAGGATCCATCACAAAAAAAAAAAAAAAGAATCCTGTTTTCACACCTAAAATCCTTTTAGAAAAGCAAATAATACCTGACGCAGTTGATTACAATTAACTTTGGATGTTTTTTCTCAGATCTGGTGTTTTCCCATGGAAAAGTGCTCGGTAAATGCTGTCCACAATAATGGCACAAAGCGGATTCAGGGGTGTGGGTGGGTGGGTGGGGGGGGCAGCAGGACCTGAGTGACTATGTGGCGATGTGGGTCGTGGAGGGGACAGAGACGAACTCACGCAGGATGTTTTTGGCCGTCTCCAGGTTGTTCTGGGCGATCATCAGCGCTTTCTGGATGTCCTGCATGGAGTAGCCTTGGGATATCAGACATTCGATCTCGCCGTTCAGGGCCTGGTTGCCAGCGCTGACGGTGGCGGTGGCTGCAGGCGGTGGAGGGGGAGGGAGAGGAGGAGGAAGCTGCGAGGCGCAGGATGGACCGGGGAGTTCGGGCAGCGGAGCGGAAAGGTCGCGGTTGAAAGGTCGAGGGCAGCGGTCGGAGTTGGTTCTGCGTGGGAGGGGCCGGGGCGGCCGGTCCGACTCGGCAAGCGCTTCTGGAAAACCCAGAAAAATCAGTTCAGGAAACAATGACATGGGAATTTACAGAAGTCGAAAGCGGAAGTTTTCCACAGATACTTAATCAGATTGGTTTGTGAGCTAAACCTGATTCCAGCCTTCACAAGCCATTATGGCCTGTAAAACAAAAACATTTAAAATTATCATTATTTAGCTGGACTTTTCACATCAAAAGTCTTAATCAATTATTAGCAGGTTTATATAAATAAGACGCAGCTTTCTTTAAATGTAATTTTATTGTTAAGTTCGCTTCAGTTCTTTTAAACATTATCATTTGATGTCATAAAATTCATCAAATTATATTCGTATTGGAACTAATATATTTGATTATTATTGTTAAATTGCAACACTGTTTATAAATTAAAACTACAATGTTGTCATTCATTTTTAAATGAAGTGGTTTTGCTATTATGAGATATTTTACATGAGTCACTTTAAACAACAATATTTTTTTATTTTTAGTTATTTTTGTTTTTACAATAAAAACAAAATTATTGAGCTTTTCATGTTGAGTCTACTCTGTGGAGCAGAATCAAGTAGCTTGTGTGTCTGGTAGGTTTTTAAGACATTTGGGAAGCTCAAATGTATTCATTTAGACCAGTTAATCAGAAAATGTAACTACACTGGATGAAAAACTGTTCTCAGAAAGCACAGACTTTTCTCCTGGTCTGTACAAATAATAAATAAATACCAGGTTCAGAAAAACTGCAAAGCATTAAAGTAACTTTTAAAGAAAACTTTATCCGTATGAGAACCTGGTCCTGAATGTTTACTTTCCTCCAGCAGAGGGCGCTGCTTGCCGAGGTTTACCGCAGACAGTAAACAAGAAAAAAACTCAGTATCCACAGTTATTCTCAAAGTTACTCAGTGACTTTCTGAATGTGTTTGATGAGGACCTGCTGCATTTAAGTGTGAAAAATGTGGCTGAAAGGTTGAAAAAAAGAAAAACAAGCCAATGTGCTTTTTTTGAAAAAGGTTTGGACTTTACTGAAGATTGAAATGCTGAAAGCTAAATAAACCAAATGCGTTAAACTAATGCCAGAGAGTAGTTTTAAAATAAAATTCCTAATATCTGGGTTTTTTCTAAATAATATAATCATGTGAAGCGTGTGAGACTGAGACCAGTTCAGAACCAGTCCATTTACCAGTCAGAACCTGGGGCTGACTGGACGTACCGGCTTCTACTGAAGCATCCATGCTGAGTGAGCTGAAGGCTGCGGAGGGACAGCTGACTTCAGACAGGATCCGCCGGGTGGGGGCTGGGGGTGCCACAGGGCGGGGACGGTCGAACTCGTAGATGTCCTCCGCTTCACTGTCTTCCTTTTTGTCCTGGGAGGCTGCAGCTTGAAGCTGGTCGAGTTCTGAAAGACCAAACAACGCGTTGACAATCAGCTTAGAGTAAAGGCAGCCAGCCACTCTGAAACTATGAGATGCACAGCTGCATCACTCTAAACCTTAAAAACAGATTGGACAACACTGTGAGGTTATCAGGCAAGTCTTTTAAAGATTATTCTATTAATTACTAACTCCAGCGCTCTGTTAATCCAAAATAAACCTCAAACATAAATGTTAAAAAAATACCTAAATTCTCATTTTGTATGTTTGAATCCTTCCATTTGGTTCTCCAGTGCTTCTAAAAACAACCCAAGCTCTTAAAAAAACACCCAAACGGTTTTGGGCAGCGAGTTTATTTTTTTTTCGGGTTCTGAAAAATTTGTTGTTTCAAAAACTTCCCATGAAGTCACAGTCGACACATTAACATTCACATGCCCCGTTACCAGCAACACAAGTGCTGTTCCAATTGGTTTGGTCAGCTGGTTTTACCGTTGTATGCGCTGTACAATGGCTGCTGGAACAGACAAGTTTTTAGTTGTTGACTTACCAACCTCCTGCACAGTCATTCTTGTTGATTGTGCAGGAAGTTCCACTTCTACTTTTCAAAGATGTATGACTGTATAATTGCGCCTCTGTTTGCAGTCATTTTCATGAGTGAGTGAATTGATTTGGGGGCGTGGCCAGCAGCAGCTAATTTGGATTTAAAGTGACAAAGGTCCTAAAACACTCAATCTGAGCAGATAGAAAATCTGCCAAAAAAATGCCAAAATACTCACTTGCCTAATAATTGTAAACAACGTATAAGTACATATTTGTTATATTTATGTAATGACTAACACAATGAGGAAAGCTTGATTATTAAAGTCATAACATCAATTTTGAGTTTTGTTATAAAGAGGTCTACTGACGCTGCTGTGCAGATCAGTTACTCTTAAGGCACTCCAGCAAAGATGGCTTCCCAAAAATATTTATAAAGCGCTTGTGAAAGTGAACTGAAGCGGGTTACCCAGATCAGAGGCCTGCGTTGTGTCAGAGGAGCTGGCCTGACTCTGAATGTTGAACATGGATTCGTACACTTGAGGGTCATCAGAGTCGTCGTCGCCCCCCTCACTGCCAGAAAAACACATATATGGGAAACACGGCTTGAGGCAATTATTTCAAATGTATAATTTTTTTTAAACATAAGAAAAAGGGTATTTTTTAAACTAGTCTTGTAATAAAGACTTTAGTTTACCCACTTTGCTTTAAATATTGAGTTTCTCTTATTGGATTCACCAATCTTTGTAAACTAGTAGCAGCCAACTTGTCATTAAACTCTGGGGAAAATTCCCCAGTTTTTTTATGTATCTACTTCATTTGAGCAAAACCCAGTTTAGTTCTTATTTTTATATGCTTATTTGTGGTAATTATACCTAGACCCTATAGGTGGATTTTCTGACCTTTGATGTTTTACATGGTAAATAAAATATCGTCTGCTGAAACCTGGTAGTGAAACTGAAATAGCATTAACATCAGTTATGTTACTAGTAATTAGTAAAATTTACAACACCTCAACCTTTTCCTGACACACTTCTGTCGCAAGAACAGGATGTGTGATCAATTCCACTGTGTACATTAAAAGACAGTCTGATATTGCTCATAAATCACATCTACTTGTATTTTTCCATCTCATTTAGGAGCATCTCCAACCAACCATCTTCTCTTCCAGCGACTAGACACAATTTTCAATCACACAGAGATGTAAACATGCATGGCTTCCTTTTCTTTATTTTTCATATTTAAATGCAGCGTGTCAAGGAAAGAGTCTTGACTTTTGTGTGCTTAATTCCATGTTTCATTCAAATTTATTTGCACATGTGTAGCTTTCTTAAATGATCTGATGCAAAAACAAATAAAAAAAAAGCACAAACTTTGCAAAGCTTTGTCAATCTAGCCCTCGTTAAAAGAGAAATGTCTGTTCTTCTCATGATCAACAGAAACATTCTGCTCTCCTTCATCCTTTCATCAAAGGGACAAGCTGTTCTCCAGCTGCATTCATCTTCAAAACCTCTGCATCTTCTTCATCTTCTTTAAATTATTTAAGAAGGGGGTTCACTGGGTTCACGAGGGTTAAAATGTAGCTGGGGCGGTGGAGCCCCCTGCTGCTCATAATGTGTACTACATGTCAACTTTTTAATGCATTTAGAAACCAATTAACTCAACCAGTGAGCCAGTTTATTCATCTTGTACGTTGATTAATTATGTAGACATATAATAAATGTTAAATGACAAAGAACACAAAATTAAAGGATACAAGTATAAGAGGCACATGTTTTATTTTTACTTTCCCAACCAAAATAGGGAGACAAAGTTTCTCTAATAATATGTGGCTTCTATGATGACTGTTTCAAAAGATTTTAAACCACATTCAACCTTCAAATTAATTCTTATTTTTTGTGAGATAAATGGTAGATTTATTTTGTTTTTTGGTTCTTTTGCCTTTTCATATTGATGTTATCTAAATGCAAACGTTTCTTCAATGATTTTTTATTTGGGTAGGACAATTCGAGACTTTTCCAAGATTAGGGGGGTTCGGACCCCTTGAGAGCCTCACGAGTTACACCTATGCCTGAAATATAACCTGGTTTGACTAACCAGCTCTACTGTTTACCTGACGTCATTGTGGTTGTTTGTCTGGGCAGGAGGGGGGGGCACCAAGGAGCCCGCGATGACCCAAGGGGCGCCAGAAACCGGCAGGGAGGTGGGACTCATGTACTCGTTCTCCTCACCGTCTGACGATGGCTTTTCTCCAGCTGAGGCCGCCGATGAAGACAGAGACCTTCACAAATGAAAACCAAGGATTATCAATGTATTCAGCATTCTCACAACTCTGTCTCATAACGGCTTAAAAATGAAACAGAATGGCATGGAGGTTTCAGATATGTAAAACAAGAAAACTCATCAATAATCATCAATCAATATTAAACAAGTATATTGTGCTAAATTTTTTCTGGTGTAGGTGTTATAGTTTTCTATAAAAACCTCCCTTCCTCCATTGGGCTCCATATAAAATATATAAAATTTAGCAAACAGGAATTCTCACAACTGTTTCGCAAGGAACAGAAATTTTTCTAGTTTCAATTAGACTTACAAATACATATTTTAAACTACAGTGCTGTTAAATCATTTCTGTTTTGCCCTCTCTACAGTTTTCCAAGGATATTTTATTAAAGTCCAGCTCTAAATATGACTTCCAGGGGGAGCCAAAGTGCAGAAAAAAACTCGTTCAAATCCTGGTTTTGTTATCAAGTCATGAGCAGCGCTGCAGACCTGGCGGCCAGGCAGTAGATGGCGTTGGTGGCTGCCTGGGGCCTGGTGCCCTCCCCGTTGGTGCCGCTGCTCTGGGGGAGGGAGGCCTTGGTGGCGGGCCGAGGAACCATGTAGTTGACCGTCCAAGCGGGCTGCTCAGGGGTGGAAGGCAGCGGTCTCCTCTGCAGCCTGGGGTCCTGGACGGGGACCGAAGGTCGCTCTGGAGGGGGGGGAGGGGGAAGCTCCCTCACAGCAGGGGGCGGAGGCAGAGGCTTGTCTCTGTGAGTGACCGCAACCTGGGATGTAAACACAAGACATTGCCTTGGTTATAAACATGCAGGAACGTGGAGACGCAGGAATGTAAACAGGTTCAGTCCGTTTACAAATACAACAAGATAAACAACATTTCTGCTATTTCACACCAAATAAGTTTATATTTAAAACACACAAACACCAGAATATCACTATATTCCTGGTTCTGATCCTTATACAAGAGCATCATATTTAAAAAAAAGGAGTCACTAAATCTTTCACTTATTTCTGTAATTCAGAAAGTTAAATATTTTATTGCAGAGGGATATATTTCAAATCTTATACTGCAAGATAACTTACATCATTATGAATAGCAAAAAAAAACCAAAATTATGCTACTCTAAAAGTTTGGTTTTACAAACTCAAATATGAGGCTGTTAAAGAATATTATGAATTAAATTTAAAACCTTTATCACGACAGGAATGTACAAAAGAAAATTGCATATTTTATATTATAATAGTGCCAAGAGTTTTGCACAAAATACATCATATGAATCGCCAACAGTCGTGAGAGCCAGAGGCGAAGATGAACATTGTGCAATAAATGTACACTTTCTAATGAAAGCATAAAAGACGCAAAAAACTAGCGAGGTAGCTAGCAACACTATCTTAGCAGCTAATTAGCTTCAACCAGCTCAAGTCACAGAACAGAATGAGCACATCTACATGAGACTCAAACGCTTGCTTGAAAATGTTTAAATGTTTGTGATTAGTTTTTTAAATTACTATAATTAACTTATTTAAGATCAACCTGCATTTATTTTATGAATTTAAGAAATGTGTCAACAATGTTCATACACTGCAGATACATGAACATTTTTTAAGGATATGCAAGTCACTCTATGGATATGAGTAAAAAGGGATTTTCTGTAATGAAATGTTACAATTAATGCTGCTGTCCAGCAGAGTTACTCACATAAAACATTGTTGTTAAATGTCTCCTTTCAGTGACAGATGTATACAAAAAGACTAACAGAAAGTTGAGAGGAAGGAACGATGAGCTGGAGCGGTTTCAATCCTTTGAAGCCACTTCCTAACCAAATATTAACATCTAAAGTATCTAACTGGTGTTCTCTTCTGTAAAAAAAAAAGTGTTTATTTTTTTCTCCATTTAGTAGACATATTCTGTGATTAGTTATTTAATTGATTTAGGGTATTTCTCCAGTAAATACAGTAAGGATGCTTCACTTCTTCACTCTTTGATCAAGGATGTGAAACAGTTTTTTCTCAGAATCTTTAAAGGGAAAAATAAAAAGAACTCTACTTTCATGTTGAGAATTTTGCATGTTTTTAAGGGGGATTTTTTGGGATGTGTAGTCAAATCCTGTGGATAAGTTTAAAGAAAAACAACAGTCCCTCTTGTGTTTCTTACTTCCTGGTAGAGCTGCAGCCACAGGGCAGCAGCACAAAGGCCAGCTTCATCAAACATTTGCTCATTTTACTTTGTGCAGTGTTTACACAGCTTTGACTGAGCTGTCAGAAGGAACCATCCACCAGCCGACCAGTCAACCGGGGGTCTGCATGGAAACGCACCTTGGCTGTGGCACCCTGACTCAGCACGGACCTCTGCTGCAGCAAGTCCAGCCGTGGAGGCACCGGAGGCAGCTGAGAGACCGGAGACGCCGGACGTTCCACCTTTAAAGACAGAGACGTTTAGAGATCCATCATGAAAACACAGAGAACGAGAGCGGCAGGCCGTACCTTACTACTGCAGGCCAGCCTGCTCATCACCAAATGCTGGTCCTCCAGACGGTCGTCCTCTTCCTCATCGTTTGCTGCTGCTTCAGCTCGGCTGGAGCCCTGGAAGCCGGCGAAGGAAGCCCCGCTGGCCTTGGGATGGAAGGGGTCCACCACGATGGGCTCCGTGCCTTTGATCTCACAGCGGCAGAATGGGCAGCCTTGACCCTCTGACTCCTGCAAAGGTTCACAATTAAACCCAAACACACGATAAAGCTGCTGATGCCCTACATAAGATGGACTACTTTGAATCTTCACAAAAAATATAGAAGATAATGAAAAAAATCTCCCTTCATTTCATTAAAATATTCCTAGAAGCCTAAAAAATACAAAGGAACATTCAGAAATCAACAAGATAATTTGCATGGTATGTAGATATAGCACATTATTTATTCCAAAAGGAAAAAGCAAAAACAGTAGGTGCAGTTTGTCGTTCAGGTTAAACCTTTAGTCAGTTTTAGGCTTAAGTGGTGCATCTTAAACAGTTTAATGTGTAAAAAACTTAGTCCTTTCTGGTTGACCTATCCATACAGTATAAGGCTGATCTATTTATTTTTGTATTAACTGATTAATAGCTGGGTGTCAAAAGGTGCTTATGTTTAGAGAATTAACCAGATGAAGGTAAGCACCAATTACTGAACTGTAATTTGTCAAAATAAGAAATGGTTTTTAGATTGTTTTTTTTTTTTCTCAAAAGCAGAAGATATTTAGTTACCTTCTTCAGCATTTACTGTTATAAAATGTAGGGAAAACCATTCATTTCACCATTGTGGATATCTGATAATTTCCAGGAAACAGAACCTGCTACCTCACTCTAATGAAACATAAAATGATTTTTGCTGCGTTACGGTCAAGTTAGACAACTGGAAGAAAAAACAACCTGAATCTGAAACAACTGGACATTGATTCCTACCAGGAAGAAAACTAACAACCACATTATCAGTGCATAGTGACGTAGTCCATGTTTATACAGTGAAGTCGACGTCCTCACCTGCCAGGCGGTCAGACAGGAAGTGCACATCAGGTGTCTGCAGGGCTCAATCTTCACGTCTTTGTCGTTTTCAGCGCAGATCTTGCAGAGCTGGAAGGTGGATCCCATCTCACAGTACAGCTCGTACTGCTCCTGCAGGGACCATGACCAGAAAATCATCAGTAAAACTTCCTGTTCAACACCCATAAGGCTTCAATGTTTTCCATAAAGCTAATAGCTGTATCTCTGCAGGGTGACGAATGCCTGAATGTACTTTAGTAGTGAGAAACAAACCAAACCTGAGTAACTTTGATGTGGTCCTGAGGAGAAGGCTCACACAGCCCCGTCAGGTCTGGGTTCTGTGCACGTCCGTCTGGGAAAAGATAGCTAAAAAACCACAACCGCAAGTGTTATCACCAACAGAATCGCACAGGTGTGATTATAATTCCACATCCACCGAATCTCACTCAGGAACAATTTCCTTACTTCTGCTAATTTAAACTACATCAAACATCCATGTTCATCCAGTATTATGTTTTCCAGGCACAAAGTGCCATTTTAGAGCACAGTCAAGTTACTCCGTTACCTTCAGTTTCAGAAATTTGTCTTTGTAATTTAACACCTTGAAATTAGGCTTCTGTCTCTAAAAATACCCTTCAGAAAGTCACACAATTGTTTCTTTACTTCACATAAAATTGAAACAAAACACATTAAAGTTGGTGGCATGGACGTAAATAGAACACACGATACGAGAATGAATGAATGAAAACTTTAGCAAGTTTTAAGAATTCAGACAGTCGTTCAGGTCATTAAATATGCACATCCTCCTTTGTGGCATCTGAGGAGGAAGCGGTACGCCATGCTTACGCATTGTGAAAGACGAACGCAAAAAAAATAACAGGCTCGAGAGCCTGTCTGCTGCTGTGTGCAGCAGACTTTACTGACATTACTGACATTACATTATAGATCTGCATCACAGAGAGATATTTACTTCATTAAGTGAAATACTTCAAGGTAAAAAAAAAACATACTAAGAGGGGAGGCTTCTCATGCATCGTTGTGCAGAAGCATCTTTTTCTTTTTGGTTACTAATTGATGGACTGAAGGTAGCAACAATCAGTAATGGCTCAGTGTGAAGGCATATCCAATAGAAAAAAATATAAATTATTAATCTGTTGTAAAAGATTAATATTTGAAGATTAATAATTGAACACCTTTTGAATGTTGACACTCAAAAGGTTTAGAATGTCAGCGTTAGAATGTGTTTTTATTGAGAACCAAGACTCTGGTCAAACCTTAAAAAAATCTGAATATGTTGATGTTAAGAGAATTTTCAGAAATCTTTCCAGGAAAAAGGAAAAAAGAAGAACTTAGAACAACCCACCAATTAAGCCTCTCGCAATTAATCAATTAGTGGCAAAATAAATTAAAATGAGATTGACAATTTCTATTCTGAGGAGAAGTAATTTTTTGGAAGAATAAGTTGTTTTAGTGTGTGTTCTCACTTTAAATCCAAATAGCTGCTGCTGGCCATGCCCCAAACTCAACGTTTACACTCACACGTAAAAATGGCTGAAAACAGATGCTCAAATATATTTTTGCTGATTTGTTACATTCAAAAAGTTTTCCAGACACCAAGAAACATAAATTTATTGCCAGCAAAATGGGGTTGTTGTTTTTTTTAAATGTTTTTAGAAGCAGTATAAACTCAAATGTTAATACAAAAACGTGCAGTACGTAAATTTTACACATTCAAAAAATATCTCTGGAGGATTTGAGATAATGTTCAAATGTGACTCACAATCCCTCTCTGTATCCATCGATGAGGGCTTGGAAAAGGGGTTTATTGTGAGGAATGGTCTGCAGGATGTTCCCGTCGGCTGTCACGTAGCCGATCGCCCACTGTCCCAGCCGAGTGCAGCTCAGCCGGAAGATGTAGCTGAGAGAAAAGACAAATATCTCAACCCAGAAGCTTCAGCCAACACCCATCAGCCCTGAGGTTACATGAGTCTCACCTGCCAGGTTTGTGGATGAATCTCTGCAGTCGAGCCTTGACTTCGTCGTACGTTAGGAAGGCCATGTAGCCAGGATGTGTGACTGCTAGGCTGTTCCAGTTTCTCAGAAGAGACAACCATGGCTACAAAAATGCAGCACAATAAAAACATATCAATGACTGAATGTTACTTTCCTCTAATTTATAGTTCAGACAAGAAGGATCCGAAAGCCCCACCTGAAAGAGTCTAGTGAAGATGTCGAACTCAAAAACAGATATGTAGTCGTTGCAGGTTAGGTCGATGGTGGACTTCAGCGCCATGGCTTCCAAACCAGAACTTATGGGGTGAAACTCATGCAGAGCCTGGCGGAACATCCTCCAGGGCACAATGGTTCTGACACAGAAATACAATAAAAGAGGGGAAATAAATCGAGATGCAAAGTTAAAGCTTTCTGAATCAGAATCAGAATTGTGTGAACACGCTATGAATCTGACTTTGGTTTCAATTGTTCATAGCAGACATTAAATATAAATATAGAAATCTTAGAGGAAATAAAAGGTAAAATAACCTTTTATACATTTCACACCCCCCAGAAAAAGCAGGTTGTGAAATGTTCATGAGAAGTAACAACCTGAGGGAGGAAACCGTCTCTTTGGCGGCTGTTGATGGCAATCAGCTGCCAAATGTGTCCAGGATGTGTGGGGTCTGCAGAAATGTTAGCTGCCCTTTTTGTGACCCCTGACCCTAAAGTTCACTATGAGTTAATGACAGAGGGATAAAAGGAAATGAAAGATGGACAGATTAAAGGATGAAAGATAGAACATTTAGATAGGCAAGAAAGAAAGTAGGATCAAAGGAAGGATGGACGGACCAAACAAAGGATGGAAAGATCGATGAAGGAAGGATCAAAGGAGGGAAGAAAGGATCAAAGCATGGATCAACACAGGGCTCAAAGAAAAGAAAGAAGAATCAAAAGAAGGAAGGAAAGAAGGAAGAATCAAAGGAGGGATCAATGAAAAAAGGAAGGAACATGGGAAATATTAAAGGAAAGGAGGAAGTATCAAAGGAGTTCATAAAGGAAAGAAGGAAGGACCAAAGGAGGGATCAAAGGCAGGAAGGAAGAATCAAAGGAAAGAAGGACAGATCAAAGGCAGTAAGGAAGGATCAAAGGAGGGATGAGAGGAAGGAAGGATCAAAGGAAAGAAGGAAGGATCAAAGGAGGAATCAAAGGATAGAAGGAAGGACAGACAGATCAAAGGAAAGAAGGAAGGATTGAAATGAAGGATCAAAGTAATAATCAAATGAAGGAAGGAAGTAAAGATCAAAGGAAAGATGGAAGAATCAAAGGAAGGTTCCATGGAAAGGAAGATTCAAAAGCAGGAAGGAAGGAAGGATCAAAGGAAAGCTGGATCAAAGGACTGATTGAATATAGGAAGGAAGAACGAAAAGGAAGTATCAAAGGATTGATCAAGGAAGGAAGGATCAAAGAAAGGATCAACCTAAATTTATGGAAGTCCATTTTCTTTTTTTTACTCTTATCCAAATGTGGAAAACCATCCTCAGAGTCCAGCAGACTGTCAGAACACAACTCCAACACTGGAACAACTTCAAAGCTAAAACAGCAATAGTGACTCTTCCCTGTTCTCTATTAAAAACAGAAACTCACTTGTCTCCGAATGACCTTCTCCAAAATTCAGCGGCGTCAGCTTTGGTAATCCGGAAGTTGTCCCCTTGAAACAGGCCATTGGGAAAGATGGCCTTCAGCTCAGCCAGCATGTGACTGAAGATCAGAGACAGCTTGGTCAGGTTCCTCCTGAGGGAGTAGCAACAGCAAAAGAGACGGGTTAGCTGAAGCTAGCTGCAGCTGAGCCACAAACTTTCCACTAGAGTACATCCACCATGAATGACTGACTCTGAGAATAATTAAATTAGAACGACTCAGCAACAGAAAATAGCTTTTAGTGAAAAAATGTTTCTAAATTAGGATGACTTTTGTTAATTAATGATTTCACTGAGTGACAAGTGGACATGAGGAATAAATAATAAAAGTTCTTCTATGGTTCAGTTAACAGGACTGACGCATTTACAGAGAATTGAGGAGGAAATGCTCGATAAAATCAGCGTGTCAGAGGAAGGATGAACTTTTGCTGTTAATGCTTTTCTGAGAAATACAGGAAGTTGGTGTGATTGTGACACTTCAGTTGGTCTGTTATCTGACTTTTAAGCAGCTGTACATCACAGTGTTTTCTTCAAAGTTGAACAACTTTACGACGTTAATGAACAAAAACTTTACAGCAGACCTGATTTAGCAATGAGAGTTGAGAAGTTACTATTAGAAAGATCAGTTCAAGTCAAAAACAACTTCCTGAGAGATAACTGAATTATATTTTAAGCATTGGCTAATTGATGATAAAAACCCAAAATTCTGTTTCAGAAAATTACAATATTGCATTTGAGCCATTTAAAGGAGGATTTCTAATAGAGAAATGGGGTCTTACTGATCATTACGTTTATATATCCTGCAGTATCTAATTAAGGTTCCTTTTGCATGAATTATTGCATTAATGCAGCGCGGAATGGAGCAGACCAGCCCGCAGTTCTTCCTTTTGACAACGATGAATATATTCTCTATATGGGTCAGGTTAGGTCAGTCTGTTGGCCAGTCAGTCACAGTTACCATGGTGACTAAAGCAGGAAGTAGCTGGATTTCCACTGACCTTATAATTGTGCAACTTGGAATTATAAAAATAAATTTGTTCAACAGACTGAGGCTGTTTTTTTGGCTGTATTGAAATTTGCGTACATCACAAAACTGCACTAGAAACACTTTTTTTTAATTACACAAGCAAAGTTGAAAAGTGACATTTTACCTTTGTTTACCTTTTCTGACACATCACAGCTGCTGTAGTCTCTAAACATTCAATAAATGACAAACTTGGACTAATTACCTCGTACGCTAGTGAATACACCTCTTTCACAACAAACATCAAATAGGACAAATATATTTTATTACATTTTAACAAACAAATGGCTTCCATGATAATTATGTGAATTTAAATTAATTATATTCCAGCTTCAGAAGATTTGCCTTTACCTTTACAGAGCTCTTTGGTTCCTCCTATCAGTCTGTAGTTTCTCATCTTGAGGTCATCAAACCAAATTTCAGATCTACCATAACTGACTGACACCTGCTGGCCTCAGGTTTGCAACCAGTTTCTGACTGAGAAACCAGTAACCTGCTCCCAGTGTCAGAATCTCACTGAGGAAGAAACAGCACTAGGTTTTCTATCACTTTATCATTTCTGATATAACTGATATATATTAGCATATAAAATGAGTCAATAGAGTTTAATTTACAATTTTCATGTCTTTGTGTCATGAGGTAGATCTCAGATGGCTGGTGAGAGAAATAGTAGATCTTGGTCTCAAAAAGTTTGGGCACCCCGAGTATTGTGTTGACTGTAAACTTTAGAAAACTCAAATAATCAAATGACATGGCAACCCAAATCATCTGGACCTCAAACAGAATAACTCTCCATTCTATCTTCAGACTCTGATAAATCCTAAATTTGCATTTCATTTGCCAATTTCTCAGATTCCTCTGACTCGTCTCCATTCTAGGCTTGGCTTCACACCAGAAATGTGACACTTGCAGTCTGTGTGGTGACTCCAGCTGCAAGCCGCTGAATCTCCACTAAACTCCTGAAAGGTCTCTGCTTCACAATACTTTTCATTCTACCGCATTTTTTTCTTTACAATAAACTTTGCATAAAGTTCTCTGTGAACAGCCGGCTTATTTAGCATAGACAATCCTGAGGAAACTGACGATGTATTAATCTGGACGCTAAATCTTTCCAGTAATGATTGCGATAGACGATAATATTTTTGTTTTGAGACCATTTTCAAGCAAAATCTCGATCATGGCATAATAATACAAAAACCAAATACCACTCAACACTGGGACTGGAAGATATTTTAAATATCCAAAATAAAATATGACAACCAAAAATAAAAAATAAGTAAATAATAAATAAATAAAACAGAAAGAAAAACAATTCAAACCAAAACCCAACATAAAGTGGCTTATGACGTCTCTGTGAACAACACTGTACTTCAAATGAAAATTACGTAATAATCATAATGGAGAATATCTAGCTCATTTTAATTTATCATGTGATTAATTTATTATTACAATAGACTTACCATTTATTAATTAAGTATTAATTAAGCCAAAACTGCAGAACGTAAATCAACATTAAAAGACTCCCAAAAGAAGCATATATTTAGCTTCACATGGTTCATATCTACTAAGGAATGCTGAAGCATTGCAATTTAAGCAATAAAATGTTTTATTTTCTTAATTAAAAAGAAATTGAATGATTTTTTTCATCTTTTAATGTATTTCCTATATTGTATAAAGAAAGCTCCAGTAGTTTAATAAAAATTAAACTACTTTAATTTTTTAATCTGATTAATCAATTAATCAACTGCTAATATAATAGTTAGCTGTAGCCTTACTGTAGAGAAACACCTGAAAGGTGAAGCTCAGATTATAAGACGGGTCAGAAGACAGCAGCAGAGCCAGATTAGGAATGATCCTGCCATCACAACCTTAAAGGCTCATTTTATCTCCTGGATGCCAGGGTGAAAGGGTGATTAGCTCTAACCCATCTGTCACTCATCCAAACGTTGCTCAGCCTCACAGCGCTTCTCGTGTCAGCCTACCTGGCCTGGGAGTTCTCCTCGTACATCCGCTCTTTGGCCTCCTTGAACAGGCTCATGGTCTGCTTCGTCTTGTTTGTGAGGTTGTCGATGACCACCCGGAAATACTCGTTCTCCCCAAGGATCTCCATCTTGCCCTCGTACCTCGACAGGATGGTGCGCAAGTGCTGGTAGGTGTCCGGCAGCAGGTCCAGGATGTAGGGTGGGCTGTTCTTCAGCGCCACTTTGGGGTTCTGGCACAAACGCACCACCTGCACAGGAAACACAGAGGAGAGGTGACTTAAAGAGACAGTATTGTGTGTTTTCCAGGCACATAAGGCCATCTTATCACATAATCAAGTAACTATGTTAACTTCAGTTGTTAAAACAATTCTATATGGCTAAAAAGAAATTTGACTTTGTCATTTAATGCCTTAAAAGTCAGTCTCTGTCTATTTAAAAACTCCTGCTCTTTCTGAAACACCGCCTTAAGGAAGTCATCGCAACATGGCTTCTCTATTAACCTCTTAATAATGGAGGCAATAAATTTATAATATATATTGTGATAAACACATAATCAATATCACATCTGATAAAATTTTCTATAATTTCACTGAAGTCTGATTCAGAACTGCATTGCATTCTGGGTATGTAGGCAGAGGAAATGTTTTAGCTGCTCAACCTTTCACCGCCAAGCCGGATTGGTGGCATCAACTCACTCACTCTTTGGTTTCCTATCAACAACTTATTGAGTAAATTGCGCAAAACAGGTTCAGGTTTTATTGCCATGTTTCATAACTGCTTAAAAATAATAAACAACAGTGTGAAGTGAAAGGAGAAAGTGAGTCCAACAGCTTGAGACAAAACTGTCGACAAACCAGGAAGCAGTTTGGAAGCATCTTAGATATTTAAGATGAGTCCAAACTCGTCAATAATTATCTATATCAACTGACATGAAACCCTTATATTGTGGTAAGTTTTTCAGCCATATCACCCAGCAACAATTACATAAATATTTTAATCGCTGGTTTTACTTCTTAGTAAGCACAAGAGGAAATTTAGAGGGCTAATATACAATAAGTAGATAATCCAAGATACTTTGAGATGCTGGAATTGAACATTTGTTAAGCTAACTAAGTGAAAATGTAAGAAGATTTCATAATTTGGCCTGCAAATCAAACCGGATGTGATCTCTCGTCAGATTATTTTGTGCAATAATCTTTATGAAACTTGTTTGTGGCTTTTCACGGTAGAATTGATCAGAATCAATTTCAATGAGCATTGAGTCAAAAAATGAAAACTAAAACTTCTTTAAACGTTAATTATCAACAAACAGCATTTTCTGGGCATATTTGCCATCTGTATGAGGATGTTCTTAAGTTGTCTACTAAATACTTTTTCCAGAAGTCTTCAGAATCATCATAAGAAGCCCTCTGAGGGACATGGGAAAAATTTTTCTTTTGCGTTATCTCGCAAAACTTTTGCTTTCCCTCACAATAGTCTTACTGCAATATTTGCTGGTCTATTTTGCATACAGTCACAAATGATAATTTAAAAATTCAAATGTTCACACATTTAATGAGCCTCAGTGTTTATTCTTAACTCTCTGGTACAAAAAACTGATTGAAAATTGGTTTATTCACTGCATATCTGTTTTGTGTAAGGTTGAGATGGGACTGCACATGAAAACATCCCTTTAAAACATTCAGACTTTCAACACAAAGGAGACAATCAAAACTGTCTGCATTATTACCCTATAATAATAACTCAAAAATAGCCCAAATAGTTTGGATATATTTTTTATTCCTTTCCTTCTTTTGGAAATTTCTGTTTATATTTTAGGTTTGTGGTACATTTCTCTCCTAAACAAAAGATATAAAACTTCAGATTTTTCATAACGAGATATTAAAAACCTTACAAAAACTTTATATAATAGCAGAAAGTACGATGACCAGCCAAAGAAAGGCTTACAGTGTTCAATTACAAAGCATGACCTGATCAGTACATTATTGCGAGGGAACGCAAAACCTTTTGAGAGGTAACGCAAAAGTATTGCAAGGGAACACAAAAAAATTCCCCATTTACCCTAGAGGGCTTCAAGTCATCAGTATGTTTTTAGCAGTTACTGCTTTTTTTTTTTTGGGTTCCGCAGTGGTAACTCTGGAAATTTTCATCTGATATTAAAATTTGTTTAATGGTTTGAAGCATTAAGGTGTGATGAATCAGTCCAAAACCAAAGTACAAGGTCACACTTTTTCCAGCTTTGTATCATCTTCCAACCAAGTCTGCAGACTTTATTAAAAAGGTGTTACGCGTCTGACCACTATGTAACCCAGAAACAAAAGGACTTAAAACTTCAAACAGGACAAAAGGGATATCAGCACATATCCTGATATGTGTAACCGATGCAGCACAGCACACACATTTCACCGTCTCCCTCCCTTATCTCCTCTTACTCCGGCACTGCTACAATAATATCTTCTCAAGTCTCATCTTGTCGTCTCTCTCTGTTTTCTTCTCTTATCTCCATCTCAGCCCAAAGCTGACGGCGAGAGATAAAACCAGAAAGATGGCGATAAATAGGACCAAAGTAAACCTTCCCCTGGCCACAGATGCAACACACAGACGACACCTCTTTCTCATCCAACACTGGAAAAAAGGGGGCTGCTCACCAAATGCGACCTACTTTACATTATCCCAATTAGGAAATGCATCAGGGACACCATTGTAGTCCTAATTTGGAGGGGTTCAGTTTAGATCAATGCTTCCTAAACTTTGCAACACAAAAAATAACAGCAACCGATCCAGATTATGAGTGATTGCAGTAAACAAGTGCTGTTAAAATTACTTTATGTCAAAACAAACTGTCTCAACAACTGTTATGATGCTTATTTATTTATGTTTTTATGTCTGAACAGTAATGAGAAAACCATGAGCTTTTTTGCTACGAGAGCAATATTATTATAGTTAACTAAAACAAATGAAGTAACTGAAGTTAAGAAAACATTAACTGGATCTTCTGTTTTTCTGTCGAACGTTCATTACCGAATCAACATATAAATAATCACAATATTATACTTTGACCTTTTTGAATTATGTACCTAAAAATTAACCAAAGTATGAGAAAAAAATAGAACCACTACTATAACTAATACAAAAACTAAACAATATCCTGTCTCTGAAGCTCACCCACATTAGCTGGAAGATCAACATCCAACAATTTAACTAATTATAACTAATAAAATACAATAAACACACTGTAAAATCTAATTAAAACTAACTGAATTAGACAAAAAGTCACAAAGAAATAAAACTAAAACTATTGTAACCCTGGAGGAGAGGTGTCACATTTTCCCAAATGATCAACTCGAAAAGACTTGTGGACCAAAAGATATTTTAAAGACATGAATAAAAGCACAAAAACAATGCTGTGATTTATTTTACCTGATAAAAACAACAATAACAACTAAGCATGCAATATTTTATAAAGCAAATAATTTGGTCGGACTTAAATATTGCATTCCTACAAAACCTAAAAAAGGTTTTGCTTTTTTAGCCTTATTGGAAAAAACTGCTGCATCCAAAATGCACAAAGGAGTGTTACCACAGATCCTTCCCCAAGCAGCTAAGGCTCTGTAATCATCATTGCTCCTCAACAAATTTAGTGAGTGCTTACATTTCTGCTGTGATTCACACAGCTCTGTTTGCAGTTTTATATTCCTTACTCTAAATAGTCTTATTATTTTTGTACAAATATGGTTTTTTAATTATCTTACACACTCTCAGTTTTCTTTGACTCTTTGATTAGTCTACTTCTGATAACTGTATAATATTTTAGGTTGTAATTTTGCAATTACTGTACAGTATCTAATTCTTTATGGTATATATCTTAATACTTCTATATTTGTGTAAATCTCCACTGTGGGTCAATAAAAGAATATTTTTTTATTTCTTTCAGTTTGAAAAGTCTTCTGGTATCAAATGAAGAAAAAAATAACAGAAAAAACCCCCATTTAATATCACTAACAAAAACAGGACTGGGGCCAATCTTTTTAAAAATGCTTGCTGAATTTAGAAAAGTTTGATAAACTTATTAGAAACTTATTATTGTACTCAAGTTCGTTTTTGAGTAAGTCACTGGAAAGTGTGGTTATTAAAATACTTTGTGTTGTATGTAATACTTTCCATTGTAACATGGGTTTTCCAGTAATTAAAACAAAATAAATTTTTTCCATCATTCTAACTGTTCCACATCCATTCATGTTACGTCAAACTTCTACGCATTTTATCCGAATTTTATGTGCTATACTGAGACAAAGTAGAGCTTGATTTTAAAATGGAAGGAAAACTATCCATGGTTTTCAACATTGATAACAATTAAAAATAAGAAAAATGTGGTGTGAATTTATTTTCAGTCTCCTAAATCATATTTTGTAGATGCAACTTTGGCTTCAGCTTTGAACATCTGAGGACAGATCAGTGATTCTCAGTTGGATATATATTTGGACTTTGACTAGATCATTGTTATACACTGATATGTTTTGATCCAAACCAGCCCAGTGCATCTCTGGCTGTAGGCTTGGATTTCTTGAAAGATTGTCTCACATTTATCCCCATTAACAACCTGCACTTTTGTCCCTGTTGAAAGGAAAAAAAAACACATCTCCACAGCACGATGCTGCCACCACAGTGCTTGGTGGTACCAATAATCCAACGTTTTACGATTGACAGCATGTTCATGTTGGCCAAAAAGCTCTGAAGTGGACTAGAATATAGCAGAAATATCAGAAAACCTTTCAATGATTAAAGTAGTTGAGATAAATCCACATTTTTCCACCACCCTTTCTCCCACACTGCTTCGAACGATCTCTGTGGCTTCTGAGCACCGTCATCTGTGCCAGGTGTGGGCGACTCTGTCCACAAGCCTGATTAGTACATTAGCATGCATGCAGTCGGTTCATGGTGCTTATTACACAACTACACACTCTAAACTGTTCTTTAAGATCTTAAAATTGCTTGCACTTTTACTGAGATCCTGAAATATTTTGGTTAAGTTAAATCTTCCACATGGCTTTTGGCAAATGGCTATTTTTCCTCTAATGTTCTCCAAAGAACCTCAAAAGTTAAATTCCACTCTGGTGGATTTTGTTTTCTAATTTTGTCATTTCTAGATGCATTCCTTTATGCTTAATTTAGAGGGATCTGATTAAAGAGAAGTACATAAATACACTACTTTTTGTTGGTTTATTATAATTCTAAAAAAAAAAAAACATGAAGGCTGTTGGTTCTATGTGACAAAGTCTAGGGATGTAAAAATGTTTTCATAAGAGGTGTGATATCCAGAAAACCCGTTTGATTTGTTACCTAAATGTTAATGATAAATCTGTAAGTGTTGGTTGTAACCTTGATGTGATCATAAATCTAGAAGAAGGAAGTGAGAAGTAAACACTTTATGATGCATAAGAACTGACAGCAGCTTGAAGTCACAAAAAACAACACGTTTTTATGTCAATATTAGAACGTTTCTGCACCCAGAGACAGTTTGTACCTTATCCATGAGCTTCCAGCATTTCTCCACCATTTTCTTATCGACCACAGCGGGCTGGTGAGGCTGCAGAGGCTGCTGGTGGGGCTGAAAGGCGTCCTTCATTAGCCCGATGAGTCCGGCGCCCCTCCTCGGATTTCCGGCCATGAATTCGCTCGATGACCGGGGGTGTTAGCCCCGCGGCAGGGGTTCACAACCTGGGAGGGTAGTGGTGGTGGTGACGAGGAGGGGTGGGGGCTGGTCTCCCTGACACGTTTCCCAATAAAGCAGCCGCTGTACTACCGCCCTGTCCGCTCTGAACAGTGGGGACGGTTTGTCATGCAGAGGCTGTCCGGGATAAGAACAAAAAGCCTGTTGTAGCTACAACTCAGCGGACCCAAAGCAGCGAGCTAACGGCTACGGCAGCTTAACGAGAAGTCTCCACTCGGGGTCCGAACCGCAGACATAACCGCCGTGTTGCTGTTTGTGCCGACCGGAACGCGAGCTGACTCCTCCTGGCGACGGCGAGTGAAACCTCCCTGAGACGAACCCGGCTTGTAGCGGAGCTGGGTGTTAAAAACCACACGGAGCCACCAACGAACAGCCTGAGCAAGAGCTAAAGTAAACACGGATGTCCGGCCTGACTTTCAGAATAAGAGCACGGTCAACACGCGTGCAAAACTGGGATTTTTACTATTATTTACAAACCAAGGCTGTAACTATAGGGTGTATTAAACGTTAATATAAATATTTAAATATAAAAAATCGTATTAGATATAAAATAATAAAAATGTTTGCTAAATATGTTTGCAACATATAGCAGTTGAATATGGACATGGTTGACTTGTTGGTCATATTTTCATTATATTAAATCGACTAAAAAGTATTTTATATACATATTTTATATTGAAATTCCTTGTATGAAAAACTCAATACTGAAATTACAATTTGTTATATTTCATTGCGTGATGTATCACAATTTATTATAATATACGGTAAATTTAAAGTAAAATTGATGCTCTTTTATTCTAAGTAACAAATGTATTAATAAAAACCCTAAGTAAAAGTACATTCATTCAAAAGTCCTCACTTTATGAATGAGTACTTATAAAACAGACAAAATATATCACACTACATATTACAAGATCAACATTTACAAATAAAATTTGAATCTCATCTGATAAACGTTAATTTATTCTGGTGTATAAGAATCTAATGTAAACTATATATTGGTTTACTCTATTGACGTCTTTCTCTATGAAGATCACACATGCACTCTGTCGCCATCTGGTGGATAAAGTAGAAATTAAACAATTTGTAGCAATTTGAGTTGTCTCCATCATCGTCTTCATAAACAACAAACAGAAAGAAAGTACTTTATTTTCAGAATACAGACACAAAGATTGGGATAAACCGTTGTGAAAGTTTAAATTAGAAAAAAAAACATAAAACACTGCTTCACAAGTCTTTGGCATATTAGAGCTGTTTTGCCTTGTTTTGGTAAATGGTTGTGAAAAACACTACAAGCATTCACTTCAGTCAAGGACAGTTAAGATGTCTGATGAGTTTATACAGGAGTTCCTCTGAATGTCAAAGCCATATTGAGCAGCTTGGCTCCCAGGTCCGCCTGCCGCCCTGCAGGCAGGAACTCTGCAGACAGCTCTCTGTAGGTGCTGCAGACTCTGCGCTCCTGAATGTCCTCTCTGTGAATGGCATGTTTCCATCTGTGCCTTGCCTCCCCATACAGCACCACCAAACACCTCCTGGGAAGCCGTACGGCCACGCGGATCACCCCCACCAGCCCGCGCTCTGGCAGGTCCTCTTCCAGAGACATGGTGAGCACGGTCTCTGAGAGCATGTTGACTGTGACAAGCCTTTCCCCCCACAGCCAAGAGTCGTCGAGGTGCGGATCAATGGCGGAGCCTCGCTGAGGGTGGTAGTCCAGGTTGCACTGCTCCACTGGTTGGAAGCCCTGCAGGTTTGGGTCCTGTTGCATTCGCAGCACCAGTTTCTGGCTCAAAGCCGGGAGCCCTTTGAAGTCTGCCAGACGCACTTTCTTTTTCTTGAAGTTCACCTTTGGACCATAGTCCTGCAATCAAACAACAGTTTGATTGGCTTCAAATCAACAGTGGTTCATGGATTTGGGGATAGGAAAAGTGGAGTATAACCTGTTTCCTTCGACCAGACTGTGACGGATTCCAAACATCCTGGTCCATGGAGCAGATCAGCTCCTTCTCCTCTTCCTCAGATATGAAGTTCTCCCACAAGAAGACACCGGGAAAAGGAAAAGATGCACCTTCTCCATCTTTGCAGACAGCGAGTTTTGTTTCAGCATCATAGAGAAAATGGTGCACAGTCTTCTTCCCAAAAACACAAAACAATACATTTAAAGCTGCTGCCTTTCCTCACTTTACCAACAGGATGACTTTTAAATCTTTTTTTTCATTTGTCGGTTTTAAATTAATTCAATGTAGTTACATGAGCATTTCTGCCAGTGAATGCAAAAGTTAGGATGCACACATCCCCGTCCACTATTAAGTACACATTTATTACTACAAGATAGTTTATATAACGATCATGTCAGTCTCAGCAGAGTTTAGAAAGTGAATATTACTTTGTAACAAAAACTTCAAAGACATAGTTAAAAACTTGAAAGTTTCTACTAGACTTGTCACAATAACACATTTTGTTGGACAAATATACAGGGAAATATACAGGGAAAAAAAATTTTGTTGGACAAAATGTGTTATTGTCCAGCAATAACACATAAATAAAAATGTGTTATAACAAAAGAACTTTCATTTCTAACGAACATTTAACATCGGAACCTGAAGAGATTTTAAATATCCAAAACAAATATACAAAAAAACAGAAACGACTCAATAAATTAGGAAGTCTCTAAACAAAACTGTCCTTCAGAAAGCGCCACATTGAAGACTGTTGTCAGACTGGTAGAAAGAGAGAGCAACTCATCAATCATGCAAATGGAGATTGTCGAGTTTGTTTTAACTAATCATGAGTCTTGATTTAATTAAATCTACTGGCAACATTTTGTTTGTATTCAGAAAGTGAGACATGCGGCACATTAGTAACATAACAAAGAGACTATGCAAACGTTTTAGTACAATAAACATTTTTGATTAATGATGCTATGTCCTGAGAAGGCTTCCGTAACTCGTTGTCAATATTGTGTAGTTATTAGAATAAGGTAAACTATGGTTAATATTTTTGTACCTCCAGCTCCATTGTCTCTGTCTGAGTTTTCCCTTTGAACTTTTCACAAATGAGACATCGTCGGATGCCTTTACAGCCGCACGAAGAAACACCATCATTGTTGATATCGGGCGCCATCATGGTGCTGGTCCTTCTTCTTCTTCTTTTATTTGGAACTCACGCGGCAGAGAGAAACAGAAGGCGCGCCCCCTATTGAAATTGTAACATTTCAAGAGCTAAAATGATTAAATTAAATTAAATTAAATTAAATTAAATTAAATTAAATTAAATTAAATTAAATTAAATTAAATTAAATTAAATTAAATTCACCCTTCGCAAGAAATTTAGAAGAATAATTAAAAGAAATATTTTTTTCTGTGACTTTAAGAGGTTAAGAAATTTAAGATATAAATAAATATAATTAATTCTCATGTTCAAGGTGTTGACTTAAATCAATTTTACATTAAGAGTTTAGATAAAAGGGGAAATGCATTTTTTTAAATTAAGAGTAAAAGGACACACATTTTATATATTGAAAATGTAATTATTAAATTAATTAATCTAATTAATAATTATTAGGAACTCAATCATTAGTAGAATTTTGGATCACGTGATATTTTGCTATTCTATTTTGAACGAGAAAACTTTGAAATGTTGGTGGTCAATATGAATAACAAATACATTTTTATTTATTTATTTTTTCAACAAGAAGCAGAAATAGGACATTTTACGTTGTATTTACCTCGGTCACGCATTTACTGAAATTAAGTTTTGTCGTGAATATACAGGGAAAAAAATACATCACGCGAGTTCTTGGTTCAAGCCACGCCCACCGGATGTAGACACAATTTCCCCGGGAAGCTCAGTTCCCGTTGTGGTGTGGAGTGTAACAGAAGCTGGGTGAGTTCTTGAAAGTAAATTAATCTATAAACTTTTGGAAATTATGAAGACATTTGTTATCCTGGAATTTCTTTATAAAAGACAGCAGCATGAAGCATAGCTACATGTTTTTTGGTTGTTATTAATGTTAAATTAGAAAAGAAACTTCGCAGTTTGCGATTCCAATGCGGTTAAAATTGGTATTTGTAAAATACTTACCAACCAGGCTATTAAATTTAACCATTGTACTTTTCTGCTGTTCTCTGTATTCATCTCACAGGTAGCGCAATGTTGATGAAAGTCTAATATTACTATTTAATCCTGGAATCTTCGGTGAAACATTAAAGCTCTATTTGTCCATTGTTTGTATCTATACACACAATCTCTTTAACTATAGACTAACCTATTTATACAAATAGAAATCTTGAAGCAGATACTATTTAAAGCCAATTCTTTAACTGGCTTTACTATTTAAAGCCAGTTAGATTTTTATTGCTAAAATCTAACTGTTCCTGCAGATTAACCATGGAGAAAATTACAGAGAAGCTTCTTTTGGAGAAAGGGTCTCCAAAAACCAACAACTTGGAACAGATCAAAACTCTGAAGTGGGTAACATTTTAAATGTTTGCATGTTCTTATATTAATTGCTGTGCTCTTGCTTTATCTAGATGTTTAGACACAAAGTGAAGCTACACTCAAAAGAATCTCATGTTATTCATTGACTTGCAAACCTGCCTATTGTACCCTCTGAGTGCAGCACAGTTAGAAACATGGGAACAGTATTGTCAGTAAAAGAGGATGAAACAATCATGGAGGAACAGAGGAGCCTAAAGAGCAACATGCTGATTGTTATTCCCTCATTTTAGCAGCTTTAATGTTCCTTCAAAACTGTAGCTGTGGAGCGTTTTCCCTTTCTATCAGAGACTTCAGTGTATGAATAAGCTGCTACACGTGGGCTACCCCAAGGCTTTGTTTTGGGTCCACTTCTGGACTCTACTAAACTCTACGCGTCGGTTGCATGTACATGTTGAAGGAATACAGGATGTGACTCTAGTCAAATAAAGTAAAACGGACTGTGTCTATGTCACTGTGGAAACACAAATTTAAACGTAGCAGATTTTTTTCAGTCTGTCTAAGATGGCGCTGGAGCTTGAGGACCTTCCTGTGAAGCTGCTGTCACGCCTGAGGTCGCTGGAACGTTGGGATCTGTCTGGAAACATGCTACAAGAGTTCCCTAAGTGTTTGGAGCTGCCTGCTCTCCGGTACCTGGACTTGAGCGATAACCAGATGGAGGACGTCACCACCTTGAAGTCCCTCACGGCCCTGGAAGAGCTCAAGATGGACGGCAACCTTTATATCACTGTGAGCTTTCTGTCATGTTCAAAAGATTTTCTTTGGTTCTGTAATGTAACAGAAAGGCACACTTAGTGAAATACTACCAGTTACTTCTTTGATGTATTGTTTTGCACACTGACAGAGCAAATATTCGCAGAATTAACTTTTAGCTTCTTGCAGATGTTTTCCATTCAGCTCAGCAGTTGCACATGAAAACATTGGTTGTTAATATCATGTTGAAATGGCCGATACTGATATTCATTCAAGACACGTTGTGCATCCCTAATTTACATTTTAATTAACGCTTACGCTGCTGAAGGAAACTACAAATAAACAATTAGAAATTAGATTTTAAAGGAATAAAATGTGACTTTGTCGTGTGTAAAGTTGGTCAGCTTTGTTTTAATTTTGCTTACTCTTTTGTTTTAGGTGAGTGATAATTACAAGCTGTTTGTGTTGCTGCCCAACCTGCGGATTTACAACAGCAAGGATGTCACTGCCACTGCCAACCATTTGAGATACGTTTACAGCGACAACCTGAGGACCAGGGTATGAAAAAGAGGCATTAATGAAGGAAAATATTCATTGACATAAATGAAACATATTTCTTCTTTGTTTAAATTATGATGATTTTATTTAGTAGACGAAGAAATCTACCACAACCAATTAAGCCCTATGTAAATTTAAAAAAAGCAAAATAACTATCTTATTGTTACAATTGTCAGGAAGTAATGAGTTGTTTATGAAAGAGTAATCTTTTTTTTTTTCCAATTTAGTGGTTTTCTAACTGGACTTCCACAAGAGCAAAAATCAAACTTGTCATTTTTAAAAACTCACAATGGTGACTGATCAAAGTCTAAGCTGTATTGTAATTTTTCTAAAACTATTCCTATCAACGAACAACAACAAGACGCAAAAGCGTTTACATAACAGAAAATTAGCCTGGGGAAGTATGAATAATTCAAATAATAATGAGAAGAAAACGACAGAGTTACAAGAAGAAAACAATAATTGTACATAAAGGGACATATGTGCCAAGCAGCTTCATGTAAAATAATTTCAGACAACAGATCGTCCCTAACCTTAAATTGGGAACAAACATATTTTGTTAAAACTCAAAAGCACCAGAGAAATTGGTGTAATTGCAAAATGACTACATATCTGCCGATGTCATCTTAAACAGCTATTATCGGTCCAGAGAAAAAGTTTGTGCACATGAAAACAAAGATCTAAAAAAAGAGCAGAAGTTTTAAGTGCAAAGATATTAATTATAAATGAAAGCTCTTAACTTTTGGCAGTAAAATTCTTCCATAAACAAACCAAACTGTGTGGCGTTGAGTAGAAATGAACTGTTGCTAATGGAGAAAAGCTAACAACTGGCCTACAGCGGTAATCATTGTGCCCATGTGTGTCTGCAGTCTGGTTCCTTTTGCACTGTGTTGCTTTTGACTCTTTTTAGATGATTGCTGTTTGGGAGAGGAGCTTCAGTCTCCCGGATCCCATCTCTGCTGAGAAGCTGTCTTCCCTCAAAAAGAACTTTGTGAGCGCTGCTTGTAAGCAAGTTAAATTCGGCCCCAGTTCTGTGACTGATTTCACCAAATGGAGGGTAAGTACTGAAAGGTAAACACTTTCTGCAGCCATGATGGTCATTTTACCACATGTTGCGATCTGTAGGTGGAGATTCTGGCTAAGGAGTATCTACGCTCTCTGGTGGAACCGAAGGGGGACTTAGATGATAAAGCCCAAACTGAGAATAAGGACAACACGGTAAGAACTGCGTTAATACTCATTCTTTATCAGATCTAGCTGCTTTATGCTGTGTTTCAAACTTCATGCTGGGTTTGTTTACCTCAGGATACATCTGAAACCCCTAAGAGGAAACAGGTGGACGCAGCAGCAGACTCCTCCTTCAATCTGACACCCCGCAAAAAGCTGCGTGCCGACCTCCCGGAATCACCTGCTGAAAGCAGTCCTCGCAAATCCAGCCTCCGCCTCAAACCACTGACAGGCACCCAGAGCAGGATGAGTCCCCAGAAGCCCAACCCGGTTCCCTCAACCCCCAAAATGGCAGAGACGCCCAGGAGGAGCGCCAAGGACAAACAGGTCAAAGTGGTGGAGCAGAAAGAAAAGCTGAGCAGAAAGGAAGCAAAGGCTGCACAGCTACACAGACATGCTCATGTGCTGCCCATCATAAAGTCTTGCAGCAAAGCAAAGGTAGGTTTTTTCATAAACTGACCAGCTTCCCAGTCCCTGCTGAAGATAGACATCCCCATATTTTAATGCTGCCACCACCATATCCCTCACTAGGGGTCAGTGTGGTCAGAGTGACATCTTGGTGCTGAATGCAAAGATAGTTAACCTGTTGATGTTCATTTTATTACAAAGCTAAAGTTTATTTGCAGCTTGAAGTTGTTTATTTTTTGTTTCCTTCATTCTGACTTCTGCTCTTTTCTCTGCCTGCAGCCGGTCTGTCTGAAGCCGCTCCATGCTCTGCAGTGCCACAGTAAACAGGACAGTTCAGACGACTTCTCCACCCAGCTGTGGGCCTGCGCCTTCCAGCCACAGTCAGAGTCCAGTGGTACCCCCTCTTCTTTTTCCCTGATATGTTTCAAGATAAAATTGGGTATCAGAGATTCAAATATTAAAAATGGAGCAACTGAATTCACTTTTCCTACTTTGATAGCAGGAAGCCGAATGGTGGCGACATGTGGAGGAGACTCAGTCTGTGTGATCGACTGTGAAACAGGAAAGGTGATGAAGAAGTACAAAGTTTCAGGAGAGGTACGTTTTTATTTATAGCAGGGGTGTCCACACCTTTTGTCACATGGGCCAAAATTGTCAAGTCAAAATTTCTTCACATTTTTTTTTTGTAGAAAATTGATTTTGTTCATTGTAGATCAAAAAATATCCAAAGGAAAAATAACATTTTGAA